GTTTTAGTTTTGAAACTAAGCGATTTTTTCTTTGATAATGGCAAGCTAAGAAAATGTTTTTCCAAGAGATAAAAAGTAGAAAAGAAAACAAGGTGGGTTTATGTATAAGTACGTAATCTTTGCCATCATTATCGACCAAAACTGAGAGTGTTGACAGTTGAGACCATTGCCTTATTTTTTTCCTTCTCAAAGGAAGACCAACTACCTTGTTAGTGAAAAGAAAGACAGATCTTTTATGTGTTGCATGTGTGTGCAAAAACGTGATTTTATCAACCACGGGGCATGGGGACAGGGCCTGTGGGCAGAAAGAGCTGCTGATAAAAGACAGATCTTAAATCTTAAGGAAGGATAAATCCTTTGCAGCTCACAGTTCCTATTAATAGAGTGTCACTGTTCCTTGAACTAAAAACCACTAAGCTAATGATCTCTAGGCTGCAGGAATGCCTCTGCTTGTTTTATTTATGTTTTTAAAAATTTTTAACGTTTATTTATTTTTGAGAGAGCATGAGCAGGGGAGGGGCAGAGAGAGAGGGAGACACAGAATCCAAAGCAGGCTCCGGGCTCTGAGCTGTCAGCACAGAGCCCGACATGGAGCTCGAACTCACAAACCACGAGATCATAACCTGAGCCAAAGTCAGCTGCTTAACCGATTGAGCCACCCAGGCGCCCCTGCCTCTGTTTATTTTAATTTACATTTAAATGTTAGGGGCTCAGTTGGTTGAGCATCCAACTCTTGATTTTGGCTCACGTCATGATCCCAGGGTTATGAGTTCAAGTCCCACATTGGGCTCCGTGCTGAGTGTGGAGCCTGCTTTGCATTCTCTCTCTCCCTGTCCCTCTGCTCCTCTTCCCTACTTGTGCCTGCTTGCTTTCTCTTTCTTTTAAAAAAAAATAGCAAAAACAAAATTTTAAACAGCTTATGTTAAGTTTTGATGACTATCACCATCAGGATATGAACATGTATGTCACCCTACAATGTTTCTTTGTGCCCCTGTTATTTTCTATAGTTTTAATGTATTATTATTATTATTATATTTTAATGTGTATTTATTTTGGAGACAGAGAGAGAGAGACAGAATGTAAACAGGGGAAGGGCAGAGAGAGAGGGAGGCACAGAATCTGAAGCAGGCTCCAGGCTCTGAGCTGTCAGCCCACAGCCCCATGTAGGGCTCCAACTCACATAGTGTGAGATCATGACCTGAGCCAAAGTCGACGCTCAACAGACTGAACCACCTAGGCACCCCGCTGCAGTTTTAAGTAAGTAGAATAAGATAGTATGTAGTCTTTTTTTTTTTTTTTTTGGTATAGCATCTTTCACTCAATTATTTTGAGATTAATCCATGGTGTTGTGTGTCTCAGTAATTCATTCCTTCTGAAGTGAATAAGGTTTCATTTAAAATTCAGACTAATATGGGGTGCCTGGGTGGCACAATTGGTTAAGTGTCTGGCTTTGGCTCAGGTCATGATCTCATGGTTTGTGGGTTCTAGCCCCACCTCAGGCTCTGTGCTGACAGCTCGGAGCCTGGAGCTTGCTTTGGATTCTGTGTCTTCCTCTCTCTCTGCTCTTCCCCTGTTTGCACTCTGTCTCTCTCTTTCTCAAAAATAAGCATTTAAAAAATGATAAAATTCAAACTACTATGTACGGAAGTGGCTTTATAGATATTATCTATGTATGTTACCTATAAAGACTGATTATGATGCCCCTAGGAAACTATTATGCTTTTGCATTAATGTATTATACATTACAATTAATAATTTCAAAGTCAAATAAATAAATAAATAAAATTCAATAACTTCTTTTTAATATTTTATTTATTTTTGAGAGAGCAAATGAGTGTGTGTGTGTGCGCAAGTGGGAGAGGGGCAGAGAGAGGAGGGCAAAGGATCTGAAGTGGGTTGTCTGCTGACAGGAGTGAGGCTTGAACTCACAGACTGCAAGATCATGACCTGAGCCATCCAGGCACCCCTCGACTTTTGTTTGTTTATTTATTTTGAGAGAGAGAGAGAGAGAATGAGCAGGAGAGGGGCAGAGAGAGGGCGAGAGAGAAAATCCTAACAACATGGAGCCCAATGTGGGGCTCAACTCAGAAACCATGAGATCTTGACCTGAGCCAAAACCAAGAGTAGGATGCTTAACCCACTGAGCCACCCAGGCTTCCCAATAACATTGCCCTTTTCAAAAAAATTCATAGTCTAAGGTTCAAGAAGAATATGCCTGGCTTTTCTTAAAGAACGTGGTGGTGGGGCAGTGTATCTTGATCACCTGCTTGTGCATATTCAAATAATAAACTGTGGGGGAGCCTCAGTTAAGCCATCGACTCTTGATTTTGGCTCAGGTCATGATCTTGTGGTTTATAGGTTTGAGCTCTGCGTCGGGCTCAGTGCTGACAGTGTGGAGACGACTTGGGATTCTCTCTCCTCCCTCACTCTTTTCCCCACCTCGTTCTCTTCCCCCCCATAAATAAATAAACTAAAAAAAAAATGCCTTAGAGTGTTTCTCAGTAACAAATGCAGAAACATACCTGATGTACAAAGTGAGTAACTTCATAGGAAAGGCAAGGAATAAGAAGCACTTTCTGTTCCCAAATGTTTTTTTTTTTTTTTTTTTTTTTGAGAGAGAGAGAGAGGGAGGAGAGAGAGTGAGCACCCAAGCAGGGGAGGGGCAGAGGGAGAGAGACTTATTTTCAATATTTATTTTATTTTTGAGTGGGGGAGAGAGCAGAGACAGAGAGACCACACACAGGGGAGGGGCAGAAAGAGAGGGAGACATAGAATCTGAAGCAGGCTCCAGGCTTTGAACTGTCAGTACAGCCCACGAACCTTGAAATCATGACCTGAGCCAAAGTAAGATACTTAATGGACTGAAACACCCAGGCACCCCAAGGGAGAGAGAGAATCTTAAGCAGGCTTCATGCCCAGTGTGGAGCTTCAGGTGGGGCTCCATCCCACCACTGGGAGATCATGACTTGAGCCAAAATCAAGAGTCGGATGCTTAATGGACTGAGCCACCCAGGTGCCCCTGTTTATTCCCATTTTTTTTTTTACCACACAAATGTACATCTGCCCACCTCGGTATAAAATATTTTGATAAATCTGTAAGGTAGGACTGCTTCCTAAAATTTCAGGACTGCCATATTATAATAGGTAACCACTGCATTGCTACCTCAGTTTTCCCAGTCTCTAAATTCATTAAAATATTGATGTGGAAAATGTTGGGGTTCAAAGCCAATGGCCAAGAAAGAATTCTTGAGACATCTTTGGTGCAAAAAGGTGGTTTTATTAAAGCACAGAGACAGGATCTGTGGGCAGAAAGAGCTGCACTGGGGTTGTGATGGTGACTGATTATATACCTTCAGGTTGGGAGGGGGTTAGGGACAGGAAAGTCTCTAAGGTATTTTAGCAACAAGGTGTCCAGGACCTTGAGGGGTTAGCTGCTGTTAGGAAAATGTCATTTATTACTGTTTAGTAAAACCTCAATCATGATATCCTTCAGATGTATATCAGGGGGCTATAAGCTTGGAGAATGATTGTCAACATATATCTGGGGTGGGTGGAGGTAAAGGAGGTTTCCAAAGGAAATTTCTTATGTTTAAAGTAGACTTGGGGCACTGATGCATAGGAGCAAATGTATCCCAATATTCATAGCAGAACTCTCAACAGTAGCCAAAACATGGAAAGAGCCTAAGTGTCCATCAACAGATGACTCAGTCAAGAAGATGTGGTTTATCTATACGATGGAATACTACATGGCAATGAGAAAGAATGAAATCTGGCCATGTGTAGCAACATGGATGGACCTTGAGGGTGTTATGCTGAGCAAAATAAGTCAGGCAGAGAAGGACAAATATCATATGTTTGCACGTATAGGAGGATTAGGAGGAACGTAATGGAGGACCATGGGGGAGAAGAAGGGGAGAAATGGGGAGAGGGAGAGAGGCAAACCATGAGAGACTCTTGAATGCTGAGAACAAACTGAGGACTGATGGGTGGGGGGAAGGGGGGAGATGGGCATGGAGGAGGGCACTTGTGGGGATGAGCACTGGGTGTTATATGGAAACCAACTTGACAATAAACTATTTGTAAAAAAATAATAATAAATTAAAAAAAATAAGAAATAAAGTAGACTTGGGGCACCTGGGTGGCTCAGTTGGTTAAGCGTCCGACTTCAGCTCAGGTCATGATCTCGCGGTTAGTGAGTTCGAGCCCTGCATCGGGCTCTATGCTGACAGCCAGCTCAGAGTCTGGAGCCTGTTTCCGATTCTGTGTTTCCCTCTCTCTCTGACCTTCCCCTGCTTACGCTGTCTGTCTGTCTGTCTGTCTCTCTCAGAAATAAATAAAACATTTTAAAAAAAAAAGTAGACTTACAGGATCCAGGAGGTCTGGATAATGTTAAGATTGCCTTTTGCCCTTAGCAAAGTGTCATCATCAAGGGAGCTGAGCTCCCAGAGGGATGTCACTCTGCCTGTCTCAAGGACTTGTCAGTGGGGTGTAAGTTATAATGAAATATTAATTTTTTTCTCCTGCCTGTGTTTCTCACATCAAGTGTGACTGTTATCCATGTGCCATCACCAATGGTGATACCTTTTAAAAGGACAGCATTGAAAGCAATGAAAAATAACAACCAGGGCTGACAGTGACAATTGTACTAGCAACAAATGTTTTGAATCAGAAGAAAAAGTAATATGAATTCCAGGAGTTCTTAACTCATAAAAAGGTTATTTCTGTATATATGGATCACCACACTTTCCAATAAAAATATATCATAATTCTAGTAAAGAGAAAACATATTCTGGGCTTGTCACAGTCTGTCCCAAATAAAGCGCGGAGGGGTCCAGAACGCTAGCAAGAGGCAAGTGAAAGGCGATTTACATTTGCTGGAAACTGGCAAGTTTGCCTTGGCCATCTTCTGCGGTAAGGGCGGCCACAATCCACGAGCCGGCCCGCGGGCAGCCCAGAACCACAACTCCCAGAATGCCACAGTGCAGGCTCCTCAGCGGATGCAGCCGCGGGCTCCCGGCCCCGCAGGCCCTGCTGCTGGTCGACCCTGGCGCCTCTGCGCTCATGGCTTCCCCGAGCAAGGCAGTTATTGTTCCCGGGAACGGAGGCGGGGATGTGGCCACCCACGGCTGGTACGGCTGGGTGAAGAAGGGGCTGGAGCAGGTAAGCGACAAGCCCGACTGCGCTGGGAGCCTTGAGGGGACAGCCGACTGAAGTTTGAGTGTGCGTTCACCTCGCCTCCAGACCCCCTCCCCGTCAGCTAAGCCCTGTGTGTTTTCATTGCTCTCCGCTGCCCTGTCTCAAACTCTAAAACTAGTGGTCAGAATTTTGGTGGATAAAACTGCCCGCAAGACTTCTCTGAAGGTTCAGTGGTTAGAGTACAAGGCATCACCTCTTAGAGCACCCCCATCTCCCTGCGTCCAATGCTGGTTCAGATTTGAGGCTTCCTAGATAAGTGTACATCTATCTTCTCTGCTTCTTGCCTCAGATTAAAAAAAAAAAATCAATGTATAATATTTAATATAGAAAAAAGATGTATGTAACATATATGTAAATTATGAAGTATAATGTAATGAATACCTGAGGCTCCATAACCAAACTAAAATCTGCAACATTAACAAAACCTTCGAAGCCACATGTATATCTCCCCATCGCATTTTCCTGCCATTCTGAAATTTTTTTCATTTGCTCCTCTTTTAAAAATGAACATACTTTTGCAAATGTGTGTGTATACTTTGAACAATATCTTATTTAACTTGGCTTCTCTCTAAGTTTTATACAATTGGTGTCCACCTGTAGTTGTGCATCTTGATTTTTTTTTTTTTTAACTTCTTCCATAACCAGTCAATAGGACTGCTTTCTGGGTTGCCATTCTCTAGAGCTCTAAAGTATGTTTCTAGAATAACATTCTAGGGTTGTAGCTGAAAACCAAGGCCAGAGCTACAAACCAAAAACAGCAGGGCTGAAGCTGTCCAGGGGGTGGGATCTCTAACTTTCTGTACTACATTTTGTACCATGTTTTACCTACTCCCTGGTGCGCAGTCTGTTTGACTCTAGGTCCGTTTATCTAGAATGCATTCTATTCATGATGCCTCTGTAGATATATGCCTACGGTGATAAACAGAGATGTACACATGCACATATGTACAGAGCTGGGTAGGTAAGAACTACAGACAGATGGAAGTTTATCAGGAGGGTTGTCTGTTCACATGTAATCCAATGGTACCCAACCCGCTTCATTTCATAACATGAGCAAAGACTTACTGAATTGATAGAGATTATATCAGGTGTCTCATTTCTTATTAGCAAAGTATTAGTTATAATTAAGCTCTTTATTATAGCTTTTTTTTCCCCTCGTGTCATAGATACCTGGTTTCCAGTGTTTGGCTAAAAACATGCCTGACCCAAGTAAGTTTTAAACGTGTTTTTAAGTAGTCTCATCTTGTTGGGTTCTGATCTTGCCATTTTCCTGGTAGAGAACAGGAATATCGTAGTAGAGAAGCCAAAGGGAATATATACCTAAGAATGAATGATGGCAAGTAGTTTGGAGAAAAGGGTGTAAACCAAAAAGCACTGCAGAAAATTCTAGTAAGGATCAAGAAAAGCAGCTGGGCTTGGTAAAATTTAATTTTCAATTTTGCAAGCAACTTGATTTTCCCTTCTATAAGTCACCAGACTCAACAGATATTTCCAGGCAAAATGTATGAGTGTTTCATGTGAGACAGAGATACGATAAAACTCTACAGCACCTATATGAGATCCAAATATTTCAAACTGCACTTTTGTTTTGACTATGCCCATGACTTGTGTCAGGAATTTCCTCTTAGGAAAGAAAGAATAGTTATACATGTGAACTTGAGACTGTTGTCTAGAGTTATTTCTTAAGTTTGAAAGTTTACATCAAAGCTTCAGAATTATATTTTTATTATTTCCCTAGTATTTTCTTATAAGAACAAGGTAAAAAATAAAGTCTATATTTATACGGATATATCTATAGCAAAACTATGGACTTGAGTCTTTCAAACAGCAACACATAAATTGTTGGCTCTATTGAAACAGCCCCATCTCCCTTGTGGTACTGCAGTCCTTAAGTTGAGAAATGCTGAGTAGTCCTCTGTTAGAAAGGTGGGGTGGCATTAGACTAAGACTGTCCCTATCAAATGACACTTTTTCTTTACCCTGAAACTTAGTTACAGCTCGAGAGAGCATCTGGCTGCCCTTCATGGAGACGGAGCTGCACTGTGATGAGAAGACCATCATCATAGGCCACAGTTCTGGGGCCATTGCAGCCATGAGGTGCGATCCCTGTTGAATTATCACCCTGGGTGGGCTCCAGCTGGCTTACAGACTTCACTGCAGTTCCTTGAACTTGCCAACTATGCACCTACCTTATGCCTGTGCTTGCCCCTGTTCTACCTGGCATAGTCTGTTCCTAGATACTTGCATGGCTTTCTCTTCTTTAAGTCTCTTTTCACTAAGGCCTACTCTAATCACTCCCAGTGAAACAATGGCTCCTGTCCCTTTTATATCTTGGTATCCCTCTTTAATCTATTACACTTTTCGACATCTGATGTCCTGTTTATTTCCTGTCTCTGGCCAGTAAAAATGTAAGCTCCATGAGCGTCGGACTTTGTTCACTCTGACATTGAGACCTCAATGCCTAGATGAGTGTCTGGCATATGGTAGGTGCTCAATAAATATTTGTTGGAGGGCAGAGGCTGTCATAGCACCCTGCAACCCCCAGTCCTTAAGATTCATGATGCTTCTCTGATATTCTTGGTTATAAGATGATGTCTCTCCCTTTAGGATTATAGGAAACTAATGGATAGGACTTAGCTGGCTGAACAAGCATATTAGGGCTGGGTTTCTTGCATATTTCCTAGGCTGGATGATGAAGGAATATGGTTTTTGTGTAACCTCTTGTCCCAAGCAGTCACTCAGGATGGCATATGAGTTGAATGTCAGAGGACCCTGCCAAATTCCATAACTTTTCCATCATTTGAAGCTATGAAATAATGCTTCACAATGTGGAGCTGCAGAATTACAGTACATAGTGTTAATAAGCTGCCAAAGATTGTCTGGAAAATGAAGAAATTGCTTTATGCTGAAATCTTTACCAGCTCAAGACCTACTGAATTTTTCTCAGGCTATTGGCTAATCAAGATGTGCCTTCTTTTAAAGATCCTTGTAACTGGGGCACCTTGGGTGGCTCAGTCGGTTGGGTGTCTTACTCTTTTGGCTTAGGTCATGATGTCACAGTTAATGGGTTCGAGCCCCACATTGGGCTTTGTGCTGGCAGGGCGGTGCCTGCTTGGGATCCTCTCTCTCTGCCTCTCCCCTGTTCATGCTCTTTCTCTCTCTCTCAAAATAAATAAATAAACTTTAAAAAAATACCTGGGGTGCCTGGGTGGCTCAAGTTGGTTAAGCGTCTGACTTCGGCTCAGGTCATAATCTCAACGTTTGTGGGTTCAAGCCCTGCTTGTCAGGCTCTGTCTGTGCTGACAGCTCGGACCCTGGAGCCTGCTTCGGATTATGTGTCTCCCTCTCTCTCTGCTCTTCCCCTGCTTGTGCTCTGTTTTTCTCTTAAAAATAAAATAATACACACACACACACACACACACATACATACATACAAAACTTACTGCAGATTGTCTACAACCTAAAAATTAACATCTAAAGTAAAGGTAGGCAAGGAGAAAGTACATGCCAGTATGCAGTATAAGATTGTAGGGGAAAAGAATATTGATAGAGCCACAGAGGACCACCCTGCAGATTACTTACTAATCACAAAGGGGACAATTGTGTCTTTACAATGGATATCTGATATCACCTTAAGTAATCAAACTTAATCTCACCAATAAAGGGACACTGGCATTGTGTGTCTCTGATGTGATAGAGTGGGAAGGACACATTGCCTGTGTAGTGTTCTTGCCAAAAATGTTTAACCTCTGTTTAATCATGAGGAAACAGACAAACTCAATTAGGGGTGATATACAAAACACTTGGCTTAAACTCTTAAAGAATATCAATGTCATTTAAAACAAAAAGTTTAGGGGTGCCTGGGTGGCTCAGTCAGTTAAGCATCTGACTTCGGCTCAGGTCATGATCTTGCAGTTCGTGAGTTTGAGCCCCGTGTTGGGCTGTGGGCTGACAGCTCAGAGCCTGGAACCTGCTTCAGATTCTACGTCTCCTTCCCTCTCTGCCCCTCCTCTGCTCGTGCTCTGTCTCTCTCAAAAATAAACAAACATTAAAAATCTTAAAAAAATTTTTTTTTAAAGTGACTAAAGGGGCGTCTGGGTGGCTTAAGCCACTGTCTTTCGCTTAGGTCATGATCTTGTGGTTCGTGGGTTCGAGCCCCGCGTCGGGCTCTGTGCTGACTGCCAGCTCAGAGCCTGGAGCCTGTTTCGGAGTCTGTGTCTCCCTCTCTCTCTGACCCTCCCCTGCTCACGCTGTCTCTCTCTCTCTCCTAGAAATAAATTTTTAAAAATATTAAAAAAAAAAGTAACTAAAGAGTTATGAAAAACAAACGCAACGCATGATCTTTGACCGTATCTAGGATTGAAAAGCAGTTTTGGGGTGCTTGGGTGACTCAGTTGTTGATTTAGACTCAGGTGGTAATCTCAGTTTGTGAGTTCAAGCCCCGTATCAGGCTCTGCGCTAACAGTGCAGAGCCTGCTTGGGATTCTCTCTCTTTCCCTTTCTGTCCCTCTCCTGGGTGCATACGCATGCTCTTTCTCTATCTTAAAATAAATAAATAAACTATTAAAAAAAAAAAAGCAAAGCAGTTTTAAAGAACATCTTTGGTATGACTGGGGAAAAAATGAATACACATAGTATTACTATCTCAATGTCAAATGTACTGGGTACAATAATGGCATTGTGGATATATAAGAGAATACCTTGTTCTTAGGGGACACATTTGATGTATTTATGTGTGAAATGTAAAATTAATGAATCTAGGTGCTTGTTGTTCAACTTTCCTGTAGGTTTGAAATTTTTCAAAACAAATGGTTGGGCAAAAAGTTTAGACTGCAAAACAAAATACCAACCCTAAATTTTTCCTGGCACAAAGGCCCCTTGAAACTATTACTATTCCACATCTTTCCCTAGCCTAGCCTTTGCCGAGTGTCTGCTGGGCACTATACTAGGCACCAGGGTCACAAAAATCAAGAAGGCTCACACTTGCTCTTAAGGAGCTGATGGTTTATTGGGGGAGATAGAATACAACACAAAAAGTAATACGATGCAATGTGGAATGTGCAACAAAAGAGGTACATTTCCACTATGGTATAGTATTTCTTAAAATATGGTTCACAGATCACCTGTATTAGTCATCTGGGCTGGGGGAGGTGACATGCCTTAATATGCAGATCCTTGGGCCTCGTACCAACTCTCAGTCAGACGCTCTGGGACTGAATCTACATGTTAACCAACCAAGCAGTGCTGATGCATACTGAAGGTAGGTTAATAAGCACATCAAAGAGAATGACTACACTTAAAAAATATACATTTATTTTTTTGGGGAGAGCACAAGCGGGAGAGGGGCAGAAAGAGGGGGACAGGATCTGAAGCAGACTCGGCACTGACAGTCTGACAGCAGCAAGCCTGACGTGGGGCTCAAACTCATGAACCGTGAAATCATGACCTGAGCTGAAGTTGGACACTCAACCAACTTAAACACCGAGGTGCCCCCACTTTGTTTTTTTGAAAGGATGACCAAAGAGGTTTGGACTACCTTGAAAAATAAGTAGAAACTCATCAAGTAGCCAAGGATAAATTATTAACCACTGGGCTTGGAGTTTTGTAGTTTCCTTACTTTTTAAAATATTAACCTTAACAGCATGTAGCACCTGCTTTCTGTAAGCTAAATCAAATGAATTTTCATGTGTGTTTTAAAAAAATTTTTTTGGCAATCAGTTGTAACATTAAGTATTAGCTGACATCATTTCTCTTTCTCCAGGTATGCAGAAACACACCAAGTATATGCTATTGTGTTAGTGTCTGCATACACCTCTGACTTGGGGGATGAAAATGAGCGTGCCAGTGGTAAGTTTGAAGGCAGAAACCGATTCAGAAAAGCCCTTCCTTTAGTCACAGGACTACATGTTCAAGTTAAACAGCACTGGCTTTGGAATAGGCTAAAAAAACCCTTTAGTAACAGATGAGAAAAATTGCCATCCTTCTTCTTTACAAATTAGACCCTTTGAGATGTAACAGACTACACTCTAATGCATTGAACGCTAGAGGCCTGATTTTTATCTGAGCCACATACTCTTCACAAATAGCTATGGTATTAAGCCCTACAGATTTGAGAACTAATGAACTTCTAACTCACAGGCTCAGATTCTGTGTGTCTGCTATGGTTTTTGCTACATATTTTACCATGGCTAGAATGGGAATTATCCTATATATAATAGGCTATATATAGGCATATATATATATTATTTTTTTCCCCATAGGATACTTCAACCGTCCCTGGCAGTGGGAGAAGATCAAAGCCAACTGCCCTCACATTGTGCAATTTGGCTCCACTGATGATCCTTTCCTTCCCTGGAAGGAACAGCAAGAAGTGGCTGACAGGTTGGAAGCGAAATTGTTCAGATTCACTGACCGTGGCCACTTTCAGAACACGGAGTTTCACGAACTGATCAGTGTGGTAAAGTCTATGCTGAAAGTACCAGCATAGACAGGATCACTTCTGCTACTTTGCATTCCAATATAGGGGTAGAGCAATGATCAGGTTATTAATAGATAAAAATCATCTATTATCAGATGATTAGTGGACACATTAAACAGATCAAAGTTCTGAAAAAAAACACAGTTTCAATATTCAAACTAAGTTACAAACAGCATTTCCATTTTCCATTGGATCTCTATCTCACAAACTGCCATGAACTAAAGTATTTTTCCCATTTGATTAGGGACATAAGGACAGTTTAACCACCTTTATCTGTACAAAGTCAGTAAGACAGGAGTGGAATCCAGCTTTCCTGATTCCCAGTCCAGATTAAAACTAGTTTTGTGTATGTTGTAGGAGTTGTACTCCTCTTCGAAATGAACCTTTTTCTAGTTGGCAGGGTGGGGTGAAGAAAATACTAAAGGTCCAGAGTGGTGGATTAGAGCTCAAGATTGTAGCTGTTTGGGGCTGGCCCAAGACAGTAAACCCAGACTAGGGCTTTCATCTTTGGCCCCTGCCCTCCCTTCAAGCATGTTGAGGGAGAGGGATACATACAGATCTACGAGTCAGGGGTATGCTGGATCCGGCAGGGAACAGAAGCCCAGCCTGTACAAACATGTCAGCATAGCCAACCAGATGTGTGGTAGGGATTAGGACAGCACAGGGAACTTGTGCGCTGTCTAAATTGTTGTCATCTGGGAAGGTGGCAGGTTGTTGCCAATTTTCTGATTTTTCGAGGGAAAAACTTCATGTAGTGGTTTTCATATCTAGGGACCATATATGTTTATATACATGGTTCATATGTATATGAATTATCCCCAATACTTGTACATATGGATTACAGAAGTTGGCAATGACAGTGTAAATAAAAAATTTACAAACACTGCAAGACATGCAAAGCCCAAGCCACCCATTTGTGACTTCTGCCATTAGGATTACCTTAGCCAGGTGCTTTAAATAATTCTCTGTAAGCCTGAGAAACTTCATGTCAAAGGATGAAACCATGGGAATAATATAAATTTTGTTAAAAATTTTTAAAAGTCATCTTTCCATACTTCAAATTTTGTTCTGTAAAGAGTTCTACCTTTTAAATTCCATGTTCCTTTAGCTTGCTTTCAAGCATCATTCCACGACTTTTCTTCTGATGATACTCCTTAAAAAAAAAAGTGTTTTCCCTTTCCCAACATTTTTTGGCTGTTATGATCCCTAAGTATTGACTCAAAACAATTTCCAGTGACTTCATACTTAATGTTACAGAATCTGATGCTTGCTGCAAAAATATGAATTTCCTTACTATATATATATATAAAGGAGATTCAAAGCCATCATTTTAACCTGAAAGGTCTTGGCTTCTAAATGTGCTCAAAGAAAGAAAGGAAAGACTCTAAACTTTTAATAGCAGTTACCTTTCAGGAGTGGGAATTTTAGGTACAGTATGAAGGAAGTCTCTTTTTATTTTGTACACCTGGGGGTTATTGAGTTTGTTATAGTGAACATATATAATTACTTTTATAATTAAATGACTATGTTTAAAACAACTCATTTGACATGTTAGTGAGAAGCAAATTAGATAAATTGAGTAATAATTTTCTTAAAAACGTTTGATTTGACCAAGCCTATAACCAAACTTTAATTCTATTTGAATTACTTTGAATTAGTAATTGTTCTACTTACTTTCAGCCTTGTTTTCTGAAGTCTTTTTTCAAAAAATTACAGTTATACTACAAATAAGTTAAAATATTTTATTGTCCTCTTTCTCCACAGAAAAACAACAAATACATACAATTGAGAAATAATTTTGAAATTCTTCATTCCTATAATTAACATAGACCTGTATATAAGGATTGTGCTATATAATATGGTAGCCAGTAACCACAGGTAGCTATAAATTAAAAATTCAGTTCTTCATTCAAGTCTTCACAGTCATGAAGTGACTAGTGGCTACTTTTACTGAACAGCAGATATGGAATACTGTCATCACTATAAAACATTCTGTTGGACAGCAATAATCTAGGGCATGTATTTTTATTCTTCCCTTACCCACCATCTAGTAATGAGTAAAAGTTCAAAGTAAAAGTCACTCAACTTGAAATTACTTGTTTGACTAGTTTTTACTCAGCTGATCACCATAAAAATCATAGCTCATAAAATCTACTCTTTACCAAACTAAGCTCAGGAATTTCACTAGAAGAATGCCACATAAACTATCTATTGAAACCACTGAATCATGGTCTCTCAGGATTGTTTGACTTCCTATTGTCATTAGTAAGCAGAGCAGAAGGGCCCTGACAGACTCCAGGGCTTATCTATTCTCAGGTGACCAAAATACCTTATACTCAATGGAAATCAAGTGTAAGGATTAGGAGTTCACCACATTTTTGTGTGTTGTGTGGTGTGTGTGGTGTGTGTGTGTGTTATGAGTCTAGAGCCCCATAATTTGTTTTGGTCAAAGTTTACTTTTGGTGGGTAAATATCCATTTAACTATATATTAGTCAGAGGTGCTGTATTTTTAAACTATTGTCTCTTTTCTCCTTCAGTTAATATTCAAAATGAAAGACATACTATGGGAAAAGCATTTAAAGGGTCTCTTTATTCTGGTGAGTCAATGAACTTCCATTGTAGCCTTTGATTGTAAGCTTCAAAAATCAATCTTTGGCTATCAAGACATAATACAAAATCTGTAGTTAATACATGAACTGCTTTCTTCCCCCCACATCTACCTCTCCCCCAAGTTCAGTTTTCTTATTAAATCAGACTAGCGCCTCTGTGACAGGCCAGGTTCCAAGGACAGGTAATATTCTTACTATTCTAGCTTTCCTTGGGGGTGGAAGAGAAACCTTGTGTAGTTTCAGGCTCCTAGATTTTTCCATATCTTCTAAATGATCCTTGTTTCAAAGTGCTAGAGTCAATGTATGCTATTTTATAGAGCTGGCCACAGACTCCATCTGGTTCAATTACTGAGCTCAATTTCATTTTATTGATCCCATTTATCTCAAAATTACCCTTCTGATGGCTGCTCACTTGGAGTATCTCCAAATTGGTAGTATCTCCAAACTGGTGGTTGAACTCTGGCATCAGGAATGGCTGACCTTGAATTCCTTTCCCTTGGTCCCATACTTTTGGCTTGGACACAGAAATCATTAAGTGGAGTACAAAATGAAAATACAACAGCTGAGATCCTAAAAAGCTAGCTTCTGTGCAATAGTACACCAAATAACCTACTATGGTTAATGATTAGGACTGGAAGTACTATTAGAACTGAGAACAATTATAATAACTTTCTGCTTAGTTTAGACCAATTACAGCATGACTTTAGAAGAGAATAAGGAAACAAATCTAAAACAGGACAAGAAAAGAATAGTACCCTGCTCACAATGAAGTATAAATGGAGGGCAATGGATTATGGGACAATTCTAGCAAATAATACAGTTGAACCACAGAGTGAAACTTAGAAGCCTTTAACAAAGGACTAGTGAAAATGTTCTCTTTAGAATGAGAATAATCATAACTATGCACTGAAAATCCTTGATAATAGTCATCATTTGCATTTGAGGTAAGTCCAATGCATAATTCTCTGAAATAGAATTTCTAACATAAAGAATTAATAGTGTGGAAAAGGGATGTTCCACTCTGTCTTCCCTACTCTTCCCTAAGTGCTATTCCTGCCCCACCACTTTTAATTCCTTCTCAATGAAACCACCGAGGAAAGAGAAAACAAATGGCAATAGTGAACTAAATATAAAAAATTTCCAATGAAGACTTTAGTAACTAACTTGAAAAGGGGCATTTTTAAGGTCTAGCCATTATAGTATTTGGCAAATATGGAATTTTTGGCTTCTTTTTCCACGAACCATCAAAAGTCTTGAAGGTTTAAGGAGGTGGTCTTCCAGAAGTTCTAAGTATTTACTGAAGAATGGATTTCAGTATTAATCTTACCTGCTTCATATTCCATTGGCTACTCTACCAATATAAATTTAGTCTTCATAGATAAAAAATATTTTTTCATAGCAGCTGGTCTATCCGTTATTGTGAAGTTTGCTTTCAAGGGTTTTTGATGTTCCATCATGAATAAATTATTTGCTCTCAAAGTAACTTCATTTGCGAAATGTCAGTAAATTTCCTAGCTCTCTTAGAATTCGAGCCACTCTGTCATATAAATACAGTTCGATGGTGAAATCTCACCACCTTCATGGCAGTCATCAAAAACCTTTAAAAAAGAAAAAAGTTTACAATCAAATGAGAGTTTAAAAATTACTACATTATAGGTAAAGCCTTAAGTGTCAACTACAACTGTACTTTCTGTTAAAGCATCTATGACCCAACCATTTTCTAAAGCAGTATTAAAAGTGAAACTTTGAAACTGAAGGAGACTAGGACTGTATTTAAGGACCTGCTGTGTGACTGTAAAGTTAGTTAACAAAAGACCTTTCGCTGTAGCAGTAAGATGACATGTTCATCTGCCCACTGGGCTAAAGGCTATCAGCAGGTAAAAGGAATACAGGAAAGCAGATCTGTACGTATGTTTGACTAAGCAAATGTTTCATGTGTAGCTTCATTCTTTTTTGTGAAGGGTGCTAAACAGAATTCCCAGTATGCTTGCTTTTTTCCCTAGGAGTTGAAACCAGCATACAGATAGCTTAGGCATACAGACAACGGCCAGTGTAATGAATGAAATAAAACCTATACCAGCAGCTATAAGGGCTGGGACAGGGCCTGCGGCACACGGCCGGCAAGCATAAAGTATGTGAGAATGGATGCACGAAGAGTGCTGGGCCATGCTGCCGGAGAAGAACATCTCTGGCTTTGAATCCTGGTTGTTACTTCTAAGGTGTATATCTTCCTTACTAGCTTCATGCTTATGCAGAAATAACACCACTAGCTCCAAGGGACAGGAGGAGGATTAAATGACGCCACAAAAATCTTTAAGAACGTGCCTGGCCTGTGGAGCGTTCTCAACAAATCCTATTTTCCTCCCTACTTAGGTTAAATGATTAGCCCTCGTTAAAAACTGTCCCTTTTAGGGCCAAAGGCAGAAAAATACAAATTTCCCTAACCCGGTTATTCTAAAAAGGAATGTAAAGCAATGGCTTGTTCATCAAAGGCCTGTTATCAAGGTTTACATGGAGGTTTGAGCAGCTGTTGAAAACTGCGGTGTGCTTGCTGGTATGTTATGTGGCAACTGCACTTGGTGACAGTCAGGTGTGAAGTGAAGCCACTTGAACTCACTGGGCAGAGTCCACAGGGGGCCCGGACCAAACCCGTGGGCGGGATGATCGGATTAACTGCTCTATACAGTTTCATGTGTCCATCCACACTGCCAACTGTGCCTTCTTTTGCAGCAATGATAGTCATCTCCACTTTCCCATCATAAATGAGTGTATTTAAGATAGTTTCAATGTCCTCCATGGACAATTCTACCTGAAAAGGAGATACATTAGAAAGGACACAGAAAGCACAAGAAGACATCCTACTGGAGAGTAAAGGGTAAAGGGTTGCAGTTCCACCAGGAATGCGGAAGCATTGTGCTGATGGGTAATTTAAAGCACAGAGCTGAAAAACAGCCCAAGTTCGCACAAAGCACTGAAATGCTAGGGACAGAACTCTAACCCCATGCCGAATTTGATACTTTCTATGTTTCTACCCTCTTACGTAAAATCTGGAAGTCTTATAAAGTAACAATTTCCTTAGCAAGAACTTGATGGGGATTTATAAAATGTTCAAGCAGAAAGTTATTTTACATACCAAATAGTCCAAATTCTTAGTTTCTTATAAATGAGAAATCTGTGGGTACCTGGATGGCTCAGTCTGTTAAGCATCTGACTTTGGTTCAGGTCATGATCTCATAGTTTGTGAGTTTAAGCCCCATATGGAGCTCTGTGCTTACAACTCAGAGCCTGGACCCTGCTTTGGATTCTGTACTTCTCTCTCTGACCCTTCCCCACTCACACTCTCTCAAAAAGAAATAAACATTAAAAAAAATTAAATGAAAAATCTGGAGTCTAGGAAATGAAAACGACTTGTCCAGATGGCCATTTCAGTTTCTTCTCTGATTATGAAAAGCATCCAGCACTGTGTCTTTACGTACAGGTCTTCAAAAGAATATGCTGATGATACTACTCGCCTCTTACAAGTGGGACAATACCAATAAACGACAACTCCTATGATGACTGAGGTCTGGCACCTATGTTGAAATGTCCCTGAGAAAGTCAAGATCTTGTCAGAACAGACTTTTGAATTCTGGGAGTGCAGTGCACTGCCAGGCTATGCTGCTGCTCTATATGCTAAGCTTAAGTACATACAGACTACACAGTGCCTGATGGCAGGACGGTGACCTTTGTCTTAATGGCTTAGGACAGTGCTTTCTCAAAGTGGATTCTGCAAAGTATTCACAGGTATCACCTGAAAAAGGGTCTGGGTCGCAAAGTATTCACAGGTATCACCTGAAAAAGGGTCTGGGTCAAATATGTTTAGAATACATTGTAAACCATACCCCTGTGATAAAGAGTATCTTTAAAAAATTAAATGAAGGGTTGCCTAGGTGGCTCAGTCGGTTGAGTTTCTAACTTTGTCTCAGGTCAAGATCTCATGGCTCAGCAGTTTGAGCCCTGCATTGGGCTCTGTGCTGAAAGCTAAGAGCCTGGAGCCTGCTTTCGATTCTGTGTCTTCCTTTTTCTCAACTCCTCCCTGACTCACAATCTGTGTCTCTCTCACAAATAAACATTAAGAAAAAAATTTTTTTTAATGTCTTTGAGAGAGAGACAGAGAATGAGCAGGGGAGGGGCAGAGAGAGAGAGGGAGACACAGAATGTGAAGCAGGCTCCAGGCTCTGAGCTGTCAGCAGAACCCAATGCAGGGCTCGAACCCACAGACTGTGAGATCATGACCTAAGCCGAAGTCGGAGGCTTAACTGACTGAGCCACCCAGGCGCCCCTAAGAAAACTTTTTTTAAATAAAAAATAAGATGAAAATTAAAAACCCACACTCTCACCTTACTGATACCCAATTCACAGATGTACTTCCATACTTCATGTGATGAGGCAAATGAACTATTCCGTTGTATCATTGGATTCTGTTTGCTTTCTCGTGCTGTTTCTGCCTATAAGGGTAGAAACACAAATCTCAGCAAGAACACTAGTGTTTTCTGAATACAATTTATATAGTGTTAAAATCAACAGAATATACTGTTTAATAAAAATTACCAACTTGAACATTTACGATATAAGCTTTTTAAAAAAAATTGCAGTGATGTGTCCTCAGTTATATCTCACCTTGCTTTGTAGAAATTTAAAACACTGTTGGTTAAGCACCTCTACAAATTCTGATTCAAAATCCTGATCACTGTACCAGGCTCCACCAGTCACAGACCGGTCTGGTTGCAGGTTATAGAGCATATATACTTTCTTTTTTGAGGCCTAGGAAAAAACATGCACAGCAGATGTGGTTGTTAAGATAAATAAGTCTTCTGGTATTATATGGAAACCAACTTGACAATAAACTATTTGTAAAAAAAAAAAAAAAAAAAAAAAGTCTTCCGAAACTAAGATTTAAAAAAAACAACTCAAATCTTTGTATTTTAGAGCAGTTATAGATTTACACAATTATTATAAAGATGGTATATTTACCTTGTGCTCAGTTTTCCCTCTTATTAACATCTTACACATTAGTAGGGTATATTTATTACAATTAATAAAGCAATAGATACATCATTATTACCTAAAGTCTATACTGAAATTTCCTTAGTTTTCCCCTAATGTCCCTTTTCTGGGTCAAGAACCTACTCAGGATACCGCACTATATTTACTGGTCATGTTTCCTCGGCACCTTCTGGTTGTGACAGCTTCTAAGACTTTAGTTGCTTTTGAGAACTTGCCAGTCCTGAAAATTACTGGTCAGGTATTCTGTAAGATGCCCCTTGACTGGGGTTTGTCTCATGTTTTTCTCAGGACTAGACTGGGGAAAAGACCACAGAGGAAGTCCCCTTCTCACCACATCCCATCAAGGGTACTCAATCATCACCAAGTGATGACTGATTACCATCACTAGGACTTCTCAGTGTTGATGTTAACCTTGATTGTATAGCTTGAGGTAGTGTTTCTCCATTTTCTCCACTGTAAACTTACTTTCTTCCCTAGCCTTGCCACGTTTGGAAGGATAACAATATGCAGAGCCCACACTTAAGGAGGGGGAGTTACTCCCCTATGACTCAGCAATAGCACTGCTAGGAATTTACCCAAGGGATACAGGAGTGCTGATGCATAGGGACACATGGACCCCCATGTTCATAGCAGCACTCTCCACAATAGCCAAAACATGGAAAGAGCCTAAGTGTCCATCAACGGATGAATGGATCAAGAAGATGTGGTTTATCTACACAACGGAATACTACATGGCAATGAGAAAGAATGAAATCTGGCCATGTGTAGCGACATGGATGGAACTTGAGGGTGTTATGCTGAGCGAAATAAGTCAGGCAGAGAAGGACAGATACCATGTGTTTGCACATATAAGTGGATTAGGAGGAAGTTAACGGAGGACGAAGCCAGAGAAGGGGAAAAATAGTTGGGTAGAGGGAGGGAGGCAAACCATGAGAGACTCTTGAATGCTGAGAACAAACTGAGGTTTGTTGGTGGGGGGTGGGGAAGGGGGTGATGGGCATGGAGGAGGGCATTTGTGGGGATGAGCACTGGGTGTTATATGGAAACCAACTTGACAATAAACTATTAAAAAAAAAAAAGGAGAGGGAGTTACATTCTACCTCCTTGAGGGCAGAGTGTCTACCTAAATCACCTGGAACTCTTCTGCACAAGTTTGTCTATTCTGCTTCTCTCCACTCATGGGGAGATCAGTCACTTATTTATTTAAACTTTTATAACAGTATGGACTCATGAAGATTTAGTTTATAGTTTGGGTTACAATCCAATACTACTGCAGTTTGAAACCTTGAAAACATTGTGTAAATGAAAGAAGCCCGATGCAAAAGACCACATACTGTATGAAATACGTATCTAAAATGTCCAGAATAGGCACATCTATAGAGACAGAAACTACATTAGTAGTTGTCAAGGCCTATGGGCAGGGAGGCAGGGGACTGACTGCTAGTGAGGTCCTATTTCATGGGTGATGAAAATGTCCTTAAATTACAACAGTGTGATGGCTGCACAACTTTGGGAATACACTAAAAACTGCCAAATTGTACATTTTAAACAGATTAATTTTATGGCATGTTAATTTTATCTCAATAAAGCTGTTATTAAAAATAAAGGTGGAGAAGAAAGATTGGCAAAGTGAAGGTAGGTGATCAGTATGTAGGGACTTGTATTATTGTCTCTACTTCTGTAAAAATTTGAAATTATCCATTAAAAATGTAGAAGAGAGATAATGTTCTAAGTTAGGGATTGGTAAGGGAAAAATGCCATTTGATAAATAAAATCTCTGATGAACTTTGAATTCTTATTTGCTGAAATCCGTGTTCAAGCAAACTTTAGGGGGAATCGTGGCTCTTCTACCTAAGTCAGTGCGGTCAGCAGCTGGCGTCCCTGATGCAGCCAGCTCTGGAGTGGAAGGCCCCGGACGAGGTAATAGGGCTGGGGTGGGATGAGGAGGAGAAATCCCACATACTGGAACAGACAGGGCGGAGATCTTTCCCTGACTTGTTTATTCCTGTATCTCAAGCCTCACAGAAGTGCCTGGCACAGAGTAAACACACCACGGATATTTGCTGAATGAGTAATCTAAGATGCCAGGATGAAGTGGGTTATCTCACACACTGAAAATCCAGTAAATATGCTCATGACTCCAAAAATTCTTTACTGAAGAAAGTAAAGTGAATTTTAGCTTTAACAGTGGGTGAGACACAAAGAGTTAATTAGGCAGTGATAAATCTAGGCAACATCTCCAAATCAATCCAACTTGAGCTAAATTATTAGAAATCTTTTTGACCAGTAGTTTTAAATCATGATGCAGCTTAAAGAACAATTAAAATCTTGAAACGTGCTTCAAAACAAATACGGGGAACATGTGGGGTAAGAAAAGAGAAAACTACTCACTGCCACAGACTTAACAGCTTTGATAAGCTTTTTACTTTCCAAATTCTTTAGAATTTTGTTAATTTCCGTTAATGGCAAGTTACTTTTGTATCGGATATCTCTGCTCCATATTCCTGTAAGAAAGTAAAGTAAAACGAGTTCAACACCACAGGATGTGTGTTTACAGTCCTTCTGCTACATCTCCTGCCAAAACTAGCAAAATATGTGTATGTGCATATATTCCTAGAGCACAGCTATAGAGAAAACAGTGACTTAGAGGTAAGAATCTTAGATAGCATAATAAAAATATATAAAACGGTAAGTTAAGTGCTGTATCCTCTAACCAGAAATTTCTTGGAATCCTAGTGTGGCACCTTTTTAAAACCACGTGAAAAGGATATTTTTTAATACAAGAAAAGTCTTGAATATTACTGAATTAACTTACATTGTCTCTTTCGTCCCTTCTTGCATCCCAACTTCTGTTTCCTACTATTTTTACCTTAGATTTGTATTTTTTAAAGTTTATTTATTATTTTTTGAGAGACAGCACTATTTTTACCTTAGATTTGTATTTTTTTAAAGTTTATTTATTATTTTTTGAGAGGGGGCAGAAAGAGAGAGAGAGGGGAGGGGTTAGGGAGAGGATCCCAAGGAGGCTCTGTGCTGTCCGCACAGAGCCCAATTTGGGGCTTGATTCAACAACCCTGGGATCATGACCTGAGCCAAAATCAAGAGTCAGATGCTTAACCGACTAAGTCATCCAGGCACCCCTACTTTAGATTTTATTTAGATTGTAACTTAAGTTTGGGCCAAGGTCAGTTGCCACTGTCAACAGAGAGCAAAAAATGGTTTATGTAAGCATCTTTGTGCCTGTATACCCATTACTTATACAAAGCTATATTTAGGAGATGGAAAATGGAAGATTGTGGTTCTCACAGTCACCAAAAGCCCTGTGCAGGAAGCTATGGTTTCTCTCTTTCTTAAAATGCTTATTTATTTTTTTGGGGGGTGGGGTGGTTAGGAATGGAGAGAGAGGGAGACAGAGGATCCCAGGCAGGCTCTGCACTGTCAGCCCAGAGCCTGACATGGGGCTCGAACCCACAAACCACGAGATCATGACCTGAGCCAAAGTTGGACACTTAACTGACTCAGCCACCCTGCTGCCCCGGTTTCTCTATTAAAGAAGGGTTGTATATGGAATTTTCTATAAAACATGTTGCCCTATTTTCTTCCCAGTACAGGGGCATAATGAGATAGGAAGAATTTTTTAAAATAGAGAATGGCTTTTTTCATAAGTCTATTTTTAAAATATTAATTGAACTCCTAATAAATGTAAGAATGATATTCAAATTATATCATGGTTGATATATTGTTGAAACTAATATCAGTGACTCAAATAAATCCTAAACTGTAATTATAGCAGTTTAGATATAATTCTATAAGGGGGATAGAGAGCAATCTAATAGTTGCTGAGAGACCTTGGTCAGCACTGCCACACTGCACCAGACATCCCTCTGGTTTTTCCAAAAACCAGAGAGATATTATTATTCATAATTTACATATAAGATGAAGATGAAGAAACATAGGCTCCAAAGTTTAGAGTGAGAATGAAAAACAAACAAAAACAGCATGCACGTTACATGTTTAGGTCATGTGTCCTCTTCTTTTAACATACACGGCAGCATTCTCTATACATAGATCTATACGTTGGGAAGCCAGATCTCATTCCCTATTCCTGGTCCTAAAGACAAAGATAGGAAGTTTTTTCCTGCTACTTCACATGCTTACCTTTATTTCCTGCATCCTCTATGATTTGATATACTAGTTTTTCTTGGTTATCTGATCCTTTCATTTTACTGCAGGGGAACAAAGTAGAATTAAAAAGGCAAAGAGATACAGTACGATCTAATTATCTACATAACTACTTTAATGAATTAGCGGACAAGGTCATCACATTGACTTATTTACCAAAAGAAGGGCTTACCTTAAAAAGAATGAGACAGGGCTGTATGTACCAGAATGAAAAGATGTCCAAGATATAGTAAGTGAAAAAAACAAGTTGCAAAACAGTATGGATAGCATGATCCCATTTTTGTTAAAAAAAAAAAAAAAAAAGAAAAAAAAAGAAAAGAGATTATATATATAGTATATAAATATATAATCATTTCTATATATTTATATATATACCTACAAGAAAGGACATATACCAATTTATTAAGAGCAGTTATCTGAGAAATGGAACTCATGATAAGAGGCAGGAATGGTATGCAGGACAGATTTACATTATGCAATTCTATATTGACTTTTCCCCCCAACACATAGATTATGTTTGTAAAAATTAAAGTTTCTAAAAATAAAAAATTGGGTGCTTACCCAGCATTCTGAGAATCCTTTATTCTATACAGAAGGCCTGTATTGCTCCTTAAGAGATCCAACTGGCCCTAAAGTTTTTTTTAACAGAAAATAACAATGAATTATTTTGGAGCTATTTTAAATCAGCCACAAATGTTTTTAAAAAAATTTTTTTTAAATGTTTATTTATTCTTGAGGGAGAGACAGAGTGTGGGGGGGGGGGCAGAGAAAGAGGGACACACAGAATCTGAAGCAGGCTCCAGGTGAGCTGTCAGCACAGAGCCCAATGCGGGGCTTGAACCCATGAGCCATGAGATCATGACCTGAGACAAAGTTGGACGCCCAACAGACTGAGCCACCCAGGTACCCCTAAGTCAACCACAAATGTTAATGTATTCTTTAAAATTTTACACAAGCCAAAACATCCTGCCTTACAGTTATTTGTTAGTTCCTCACTCGAGACTTCAGTCTTTGCTTACAAATCACATGTAATATATTTTTAAAAACTTAGTGCTTTATGTCATCATTTTCCAAATTATTAACACCTAACAATTTCTTATATGCCGGTGTCCTGGCTTGTTTATATGAGCAATGCATAAAGAATTTTAAACAAGCAGCTTTAGAATAATAAATAAAAATCCCTATTCAAATTCAAATAAATTCAATGAGTATGTATAATATAAACATAAACAAATAATTTATATAACTAAAAAGTTCAAATAAAGGCTAACATGCATAATCTATAGCATGATGATTAGAATTTATAAAATAAATAGTGACATTTATTGATCTGTGTGATTTCTATTGTATTATATGAAAATTAGAAAGGTCAACCAATGAATAAAAGATACAATAGTTTTGGTTTTATAGAACAAATCAAAAGTAAAGCATGTCTGACATGCTTTTGAAATGCCTTGGGTGTGAACTTTGGAGCACACAGAAGGCCAGATCATTGGACTTATGGCAGTCTGGGGAATCCATGGCCAGGAGAGGCCCCATCTCTACATTAAGACTGGGATGACACATGACTTGGAAACAGGTTTACATACAGATGAAAAGCAATAACCTCCCTCCCTGAACCCCATTAAATAGCAAAATCGAACCAGAAAGTTCCATTTGGAGGTTTAATTCAGCCTCTGAACATTTCCTGAAAACTCATACTGTGATACATGTCTGAGGGGACAAACATGAATTCTAAAGAGAATCACACAGCTAATGTCAATACTATCTCATTGGCGTCAACACAGAGGTAAGTTAAGGGTGGAAAGGATGCTCAGAGAAGCAGCTTTGGTCCAACCTGGGGTGGGAGGGGTGGTTTCAGGGAAGCTTTCTGGGAGACAATAGCAGAGCTGAGTCTTGAAGGAGAATGAGGAGTTAGTCTGTGAAGAAAGGGAAGAAGGGCCTTCTAACCAGTGAAGACGATGGACCTGAGGCATGATGTGGCAGGGAACCAAAAATAATCTGTTCCCCTGAAACCTAACTTTTGAGGCAGAGTGGGTGAAGAAGGTAGGGGCTTGGTGTGGTGAACCCAGGAGTGTGGACTTGAATCTGTAGTGTTGAGAGGATTGTGGGTCACAAATGACTTGGTCAGATCTGTATTAAAGACAGATCAAGGGGTGCCTGGGTGTCTTGGTCAGTTAAGCATCTTGATCTTAGTTAAGGTCTTGATCTCAGGGTGTTGAGTTCAAGCCCTGTGTTGGGCTCTGTGCAGGGTGGGAAGCCTACTTAAAAAAAAGAAAAATCAGGCTGGCTGTACTGAGGCAGATGGAGCCAGGAGAGCCAGTTAGAATATACTGTCATAGCCCAGGAAGAAGCCAAGAACCTGACATATGCAGGACATGCAGGAATGGAAATGAGGGAACAAATCTGAGAGTGTTTATGAGCTAAAATCAGTAATCCTTTGTGATTTGCTAATAATTATTCCCTTAAGACATCCTGGCTCCACCACTGCTCACAACCTATAGACCACAGGCCTGGCAGTAGATGGGGCTGCAAAGATGGAGACAGAGAGGCAGGTACTGAGGGTTTTCAGACAACACAAAGGGCTGAAAGAATAGTCAGAAGACAAAAACAGTCTCCATTGCTACAACCTTCAGCATCCTTTCACTATCCCTCTGGAGCTGAGTCCTTCACCATGGTGAACTGATCAGAAATCACCAGAACTAAGACAGGGGTGAGCAACCTGGCCCACTGCTCATTTTTATAAATAAGGTTTTACTGGAATGCAGCCATGCTCATGTGTTTATGAATGGTTCATGGCTACTTCCCTGAAGAGTTGAGTAGTTATGACAGAAACCACATGGCCCGCAAAGCCTACAATGCATACTATCTGGCACTTTCTAGAAAAAGTCTTCCAGCCATTGAAGATGGTGATTTAATAGAACGTTCATCTGTCCTCAAATTTCCATATGGGTCCTTAGTGTAGAAATCTTTTACTCAATTTCTACTACAACCAAACTGAAATGCTTTCAAGACATGGGAGTTTTGATAATGGAGAAATGGAAGGAGAGATAGGCAGATTTAGAGGATGGGCGCCCCAAGCTGGGGTGTTTTGGGACATTAGGTGGGGTGTTTTAGGACATTCCCAGGAGAAGAGAAGGGGTAAGAGCAGGTAGAAGGGCTTCTTTGAAAAACCCCACTGCAGTGTGACTGGACTCAGTCCTGCCCACTGAAATGCTCAGAGTGAGGAGTGAGAGTGACGAGTGAGACTGGACACCGAAACCTTAAGGAACCAACTCTGTGATAACCTGCAGAAAAACCAGACAGGGCATATTTCATAGAGAATGGCCCAACACCAACAGCAGGAAGCAAACAGAAGGTGAGAGCAGACTAGGCCTATGTGCCCTGTGTACCACAACGACAATTAGGTTAACAAAGACAACAGTTAACACAGAATATATTTCATTCAACTTGCAAAAGGATGTGTAATTATTTCTTTATTTCTTCTTTCCTCAGTTCAGGTAGTCTGAGCTGTTTCCTGGTCTGGTGTCTTAACCTAACACACTTTCGAATGGTTTCACATCTACATAACAGGAAGTAATGACAGTCATAACACATAAATAATTACATCAACTAGTTGAATTTGCCTTACCATGGACAGCAGTCTATTGATGGCCACTGCCCGCTGCTGGGCTTCTATATGAGGCATTTCATTCTGAATTACTTGGTCTGTGATTCCATGAGGGAACTGGTGGCATAATTCTATAATCCTAGGAACAAAGGCAATGATGATATTTTTCATGTTTTGACCTATTTCAAGAGGCAGTGGGAGAAAAATACAAGCAGAATAGTTTGAAACTGTAATTTTTTTTTCATTTGGCAGATGATCTAGGTTTCTATGACGGTTGTGAATCAAAGCATGTTGGAAATTGAGCAAGATAAAGTACACGTTTACATTATTACTATTATTTAAGAGATTGTCTCTTTTCCTCACTAATATTAACTTTAAGTTAGAACAAAAGTCAAATGAAAACACACATAAAATATGTTAAAGCTGAGGCTTCAATTTTCTCAGGCAGAACAACTATGACAAAGTTAATATGCAGTGCGTTGGGCAGTCATAGTCTCCAACGAGGCAAATCTGATACGACCAGTGGGAAGACAAAATTTGTTATGCCAATTAACCACAACTCGGCCTTCTCTTGAATTATTCACACCAAACAAAAATCAACCCAACTGTCCACCTTGTCATAGGATCATCATACGTGTTTTCATTAAGTTTGAGAAAGTCAAGATCTTCAAAACTAAAAATATAAAATTAGGAGACGCTTTAGGTGACCTAAAATCTTGACTTAAATACTGTACTGAAACCATTTGTCTTAATGTTGCTTCAAAAATCCAAAATGCACCCTAACTTTGCCCAAACGTTGTGCTCCCTTAGTGACAAGTGCGATCCTGGATCAGCGTATGTATCCACAAGTACTACGAGAAAAACGCCAAGTCCTCGCTGGGCGTCGATCACCACATCAACACAACTTTCCGAACAGCACCGGGGAATGATCAGATACCTAAAGTTGCAAACTGTCAAACTCGCCCAGAACTTTTTACGAAGTCTGCGGATGGGAAGGAGGCTCCAAGTCCCACGATCCCCTTCCTGCGCACGCGGTTATCTACCAAGGGTCCCCGTAGAAGGGGTCCGCCTGCCCAAACGGCTGGCCGCCTGAGGGGGGGGCTCCAGAGCGAGGAAGGAGCCTCACTCGCTGGTTTACCTGTTTTCTATTTCGACGGGATCCGCGTCGGGCGGCTGAACCTTCACCTTCACCTCAGCCATCACTGCCCAGTTCCCGGCCCCCCGCGGGAAGAGATGCAAGGAGTCGCCTTTTACCCAGCTAGGGAACGGGAAAACCGGTGAAAGACAGTGCCGGGCTTGGGCGAGGGGCCTTCTTCCTCGTGTCGCAACCGGTCCTTACTTGTTCTGTCGGCTTCAGGTGGCCAAGCCGTGCCTGATCCACTGTCTTACCCGCACCACTACTTTTATTCTTGTTTTTCAGAAGGTCAAAGCCTGTCGGACCAACGAGCCCGGTTCCCTCACTCTGTGTTGGGATGCCACCTCGGAGCACTTTCCAACCTCTGTGAAGGTATATTCTCAGAGACCTGCAGGGAAGCCTTTAGGAAAGGCGCGCGAGACCGGTCCCAGTCTCCGGGCCCAGCAGCAGGGGCGGGGCTGGTTGCTAGGAAGTCATTTTCCGCCAATCACCTGCCCAGCGCTCAGTGGGAGGGGCGCGGCTCGCAGCGTCTGTGGAAACATGGGATGCAGCAGAGGAGAGGGCAAGAGGCGGTGAGAGGTGGGTTGCCTGACCGGGGACAGTGGCGGTGCTTCGGGGATCCCATTCCGGGTTCTGGTGATCGGAGGAAGAGAGGGAGCAGGAGAAGGGCCTCTCACTCCAGCCGAAAGGAAGCGGGCGTTCCTATCTGCCCCTGATGGACAGGGACGGGGACCGGACGGGGTTCCGGATCCGGGAGGCGAAGGGGCGGTCTTGATGGAAGGATTTGATGGGTGAGGGGTGCTCTTGACCCTACACTGCCATTTGGGCCTATCATGGTGGTCTGCTTCTTGATCCTCTTCGCTTGGGGCCCAGTGGCCTCCCCAGCCTCCGAAGGGTGGCTCCTACTTGCTGCGGGTGTAATTCCCTTCTCTCTCTCTCTCTCTCTCTCTCTGCTGTGGGTGTTATTCCCATCTATCTGTCTGTCTATCTGTCCATCTATCTTCCCACCTATATAAATATATATATTAATTAAAATTAAAATTAAAATAGTTGAAAATTTAGTCCATATAGATAGATATCCTATGGATGTATATATAATATACATGTATGTATATATATGTATATAGGAGGCTATTACTCTAAAATAGCCTGTAGAGTCTATTGCTCTAAAATTGGTATCTGCAATTTATATTCGTAGCCTTTGACCTAGAAATATCCAACCAGGCATTAATTTCAGTTCCTAATTTTAGTTATCTAAATTTTGGGAATATAGTCTGTGACAAAATTCAAGCCACAAGCTGTTCAGAGCAGCATTATTTAGAATTACCAACCAAAGCTAAGAAGAAATTAGTAATAGCCTAAATGCCCAAGCACAGAATGATAAGATTATATAAGTATGTGGAAAACTGTAAATAATAGAGTGAGAGTGCAAGGAGCATACTATAAAAATGTAATGAACATATAGATTATAACTGAACAAGACTATGAATCCATAACCGTTGAAATTTAAGGGGCACCTGGATGGCTCAGTCTTGAATGTCCCACCCTTGGGTTCCACTCAGGTCATGATCCCACCATCATGGGATGAAGCCCAGCATTGGGTTCTGTGCTGAGTGTGGAACCTGCTTAAGATTTCTCTCTCTCTCTCTGTCTCTCTCCCTCCCTCCCCCCACCTCTTTCTAAAAAAAAAGTCATTGAAATTTGAAAAGGCCACATAGAGATATAAATGGTTTTTGTATTACAGTGAGGGTTGTTTTTCCCCTGTATATCCTTTACGTGTTCAGAATCATACTCCCTCCCACAGAAAAAGATTGGTAAGTCCTCCATACTCGTACTTAACTGTTTATATACTGTATAACAGACAGAGTAGGAGACTTTTTAAAAGTTCATTTATTTATTTTGTGAGAGAGAGAAAGAGAGAGAGAACATGAGCAAAGAGGGACAGAGAAGGAGAAAGAGAATCTCAATGAGGCTCCATGCTAACAGCTTGGGGCTCGATCTCACCAATGGTGAGATCATTACCTGGGTGGAAATCAAGAGACAGACACTTAACCAACTGAGCCACCCAGGTGCCCCTAGAATGGGAGACTTTTTGTTGCTCACTGTTTATAACTGTTCCAGCTTCCTTTCAGCTGAGGCACGATACTCTGCCATCCTTCTAAAATTTCTTTGCAGCTTTCAAATGCAAGAACCACTTGGTAACAACAGCAGGGTCTCGAACGTGGAGCTTCCCCAAGGGAGTTGGCTCTAAATTAACATTTCATGCTGCATACAGAGTTACTCTGTTCTGCTTGTGTGATGACTTGCCCTGAACACCAAGAGAGGTGGCACCTTAATAAGAGGTGGGAAAGGGTGATAATGATCTAGGGGGAGCTCAGATCAGATCATTAGTAATGGTCTCTGTTCTGATGTTACAGTAGTCTCCTCTTGTCTGCAGTTTGCTTTTCATGGTTTCTCTTATGTGAAGTCAACTGGGGCCTGGATGCAGATGATCCTTTTTCTGATGGCAGAAGGTCAGTAGTAGCCTAAGGCTACATCACAGTGTCTATGTCACTCACCTCACTTCATCTCATCATGTAGGCACTTTATATCTCCCATCATCACAAGAAAGGTGAGTATAGTACAATAAGGTATTTTGAGGGAGACCGCATTCACATAACTTTTATTACAGTATGTTGTTGTAATTGTTCTATCTTATTACTGTTGTAGTTAATCCCTTACTGTGCCTAATTTATAAATTAAACTCTATCATGAGTATGTATAAATGGGAAAAAACAGCATACATAGGGTTTGGCACTATTCATGGTATTATGAATCCACTGGGGTCTTGAACATTTCCCCCATGGAGAAGGGAGGGACTACTGTACTCATTTAATTTGTTCATTTAAAATAATTCCATCCCCCATCCCACTTGTTTGTGCTCTTTTCCCAGAAGTGAGTAAGTATTTAGATAGTTAAAATCCCACACAAGAACCTCAACAGAAAAAGTACATCTGAAACAATACTGGTTGGAATTAAAAATGAAATAATATTTTTAGGTAGTATTCTCTTTAGTTTTTACTAGTTTTGCTGTATTTAAACGAAGTGCTTCTCTTTAACTTTTGTATTCAAATATAGGTGCCTATTGGAATTTATTTTCATCCCGCGTTTTTAATGTAAGGAGGGAAAATGACTGCTGGTTCAGTGTGTGTCCCTCAGATCATACCATTGCGAGTGCCTCCGCCTGGAAAAGCCAACCATGAAATTGATAACAATACACTTTTGGAAATGAAATCAGGTAAGAATCGAATGTACTTGAAATCATGTAAAATAGCATTGCCATATTCCTTATGTTCATCTGGTTGTTGAATTCTCACTTTGCATGCTTTCTACAATTAGGACCCTGGGGATTTTGTACAAGTTCCAGAAGTTGCAATAGTGTTGCACTCGGTGGTTTATGGAGTTGTATGTATTTAAATTAAAACCGTTAGCTTTGGGGCACCTGGGTGCGTCAGTCGGTTGTGTGTCTGACTCATGATTTCAGCTCAGGTCCTGATCTCATAGTTCTTGGGGTTGAGCCCTACATCAGGCTCTGTGCTGGCAGCATGGAGCCTGCTTGGGATTCTCTCTTTTCCTCTCTCTCAGCCCCTCCCCCGACTTCCACGTGCATGCTCTCTCTTCCTCAAAACAAACAAACAAACATTTAAAAATAAACAAGTAAAATGGTTAACTTTGACCAACCTTTCATTTGTATCAGCACACAGTTGCAGCAATGCCTTGACTCACATTAGCCAAAGATGTCCTGGTTCTTCTCCAGACTTTCTTAGGATTGTCATTATTTTGCCAGGATAATAAAGTTTACCTCAGTAGGTTTTGCAGTCAGGCATATTGGAGATTAAATCCTGACTTTGACAACTTCTAGTGATGCATTACTTAGCCTTTCTGAGTCTCTGTTTTTTCATTGCTAGATAGTGAGAATATTATCTGCCAGTTAGAGTTGACGTGTTATGTGAGATGCCAAACTAAATCATAACTATTATTACAGAAATAAAGCAGTGAATACATTTCCTGGTAATGATAATGATAGGAATGTATATATATGCATATACAGGGACTCATGTATATATGTATATATCTACATACATAGATATATAATTAACATAAGGAGAATTTAAAGCTATGTTTTTAATTTGAGAGAGAGAGAGAGCACATGAGTCAGGGGAGAGGGGCGGAGGGAGAAAGTGAGAATCTTAAGCAGGCACCATGCTCAGCACAGAGCCCAATACAGGGCTTGATCCCACAATCCTGGGATCACGACTCAAGCCAAAATCAAGAGTCAGATGCTCAATGAATTGAGACACCCAGGCATCCCTTTCTTCTTCTTCTTTTTAAAAGTAATCTCTGTGCCCAATGTGGGGCTTGAACTCACCACCTTGAGATCAAGAGTTGCATGCTGGGGCTCCTGGGGATTCTCTCTCTCTCTCTCTCTTTCTCTCTGCCCCACCCCCACTCATGCCTACATGCTCTCACTCTCTCTCAAAATAAACATTAAAAAAAAAAAAAAGAGTTGCATGCTCTACCAGCTGAGCCAGCCAGGTGCCCTGGGAAAGTTTTACAGATAAAACACATAAGTAAATACTTGCTTTAAAAGGTTTTGAAATTCCAAAAAAAAAAAATAAAAAAAAAAAAAAAAAGGTTTTGAAATTCCAATTATATATTTCAATAAATAATGTGTAAAAACAATTTTCTATATTTTATGGTGACTCCTGTTCTTCCTAGTCAAATTCCAACTAAGGATATTTTATAATATACTACATCTTCCTTTATATATTTTCTTAATGTTTATTTTTGAGAGAGAGAGAGTGTGTGAGCAAGGGTGGGATAGAGAGGGAGACACAGAATACAAAGGAGGCTCCAGGCTCTGAGCTGTCATTAGAGACCCTGACATAGGGCCCGAGCTCATGAACCTTGAGATTATGACCTGTGCGGAAGTCAGATGCTCAACTGACTGAGCCACCCAGGTGCCCCTATATTTCCCTTTGTCTTAAAAGCTAGTATTGGGGAGTGATAGGCACTTGTTGGGATGAGCACTGGGTGTTATATAGAAACCAACTTGACAGTAAACTATGAAGGAAAAAATAAAAATAGAAGCACATTAAAAAAACTGAAATGAATATAACTACATATAGATATATACACACACTTATGATGCTTTTAACAGAGAAGAGCAGTGCATTTTAGTTTGGATAGTATTTCAGCTTAAAGTAAATAAAAATATTCTCTGAATTCTAAAAAAAAAAACTAGTATTATTTTTAAAAATTCTGAAGCTAAAATACAGCTTTTTTTTTAAAAGTTTATTCTGAGAAAGAGAGCAAGTGGGCGAGAGCGAGAGTGGGGGAGGGGAAGGGCAGAGAGACAGGAAGAGAATCCCAAGCAGTCTCCATACTGTCAGTGCCAGAGCCCAGTGAGGGGCTAGATCTCAGAAGCCATGAGATCATGACCTGAGCCAAGATCAAGAGTCCATCACTTAACCACCTGAGCCACCTAAGTGCCCCCAAAATACAAATTTTATTTATTTATTTATTAAAAATTTTTATTTATATAAATTATTTATTAAAATTTTTAATGTTTTATTTATTTCTGAGAGAGAGAGAGAGAGAGACATAGCATGAACAGGGAGGGTGAGAGAGAGAGACACAGAATCCGAAACAGGCTCCAGGCTCTGAGCTAGTTGTCAGCACAGAGCCTGATGCGGGGCTTGAACCCACAACTGTGAGATCATGACCTGAGCTGAAGTCGGACGCTTAACCGACTGAGCCACCCAGGCGCCCCCAAAAATACAAATTTTAATAAATGTGTCCATAGCACTTGGGAAAAGATGGATGATTATCGATAAATGATGATATGATGATATGACTGATAGAGGATCCAAATTCCCTAATATTTAAAATGTTTAAATGTTTAATAAATAAAGAGGTTGTACAATTTAATAACAAAAAGAATAATAACCCAATAGAAAAGTGGGCAAAGATGTGAAAGGACATTTTATAGGAAAGGAAATATAAATATCTTTTAAACACACAGGAATGTGCTTCTACCCATCCCTTTCCTTATTTGCTAAGCAGACCTTGTCCCCTGCTTTACTTATGCCATTGGATTTAATCACCCCTTGCTATCACGTATATACTTGTTTGTTTACCGTTTGTGTGTCTTTCGTAAAATAGAGGCTCTGTGAGAGCAGGGGACCTTGGTCACTGGTTACCACCCATCACCACACAATTACAATTTTTTTCTTATGGTGAGAATGTTCAGGATCTCCTCTCTTAGCAACTGTTTTTGACCTTTTGAACTTTGAATTCTATGAATGTATGACCTTTAAAATTTTTCCAAGAAGTGTAGGAATCATTTACCAAGTCCAAATAAAATAGAATAATAGCATTTCTGAAGCAATGCTCAAAAAATAAAAAATCAGCTTCTACTTTCTACATGGGTATTGTGGTCTTAAAATGAGCCCTACTCGTATCGATGTCTTATTGGAGTGGCACGATAGCAAAGAGATTCAAGAGCACGGGCTATGGATCCAATGTAGCCCAACTGAAACCACAACTCTGCTGTTGTTGTTGTTTTTTTAATGTTTTTTAAAATTTATATCTGAGAGAGAGAGAGACAGCATGAGCAGGAGAGGGTCAAAGAGAGAGGGAGATAAAGAATCTGAAGCAGGCTCCAGGCTCTGAGCTGGCTGTCAGCACAGAGCCCGACGCCGGGCTTGAACCCACTAACTGTGAGATCATGACCTGAGCTGAAGTTGGACGCTCAACCAACTGAGCCACCCAGGTGCCCCAACTCTGCTGTTATTGGATGACTTTCTTAGCTTCCCTGGGACTCAGTTTCCTCATCTATAAAGTGGGCCTAAAATGGGACCTGTCACATAGGGTTGTACACATGCAGTGAGCTAATTCACATAAAACACAGTGCCTGGCACAGAGAAACAACTCAATTAGTGTTAGTTATTCATTCCTATAATGTATTTAAAAATCTCATTAGTTAACTGACCCACAGACATTATTCAGCAACTTCCTACTTTTGTGTTAATTAGTTACCCTGCTTTGGGTTTTTCAGACACCCCGGATGTCAACATATATTATACACTGGATGGCAGCAAACCTGAATTTCTAAAGAGAATTGGTTATGGTGAAAACAATACATTCAAGTATACAAAGCCTATTACTCTGCCTGATGGAAAAATACAAGTTAAAGCTATTGCAGTCTCTAAGTAAGTTAAGAGCATGGCGATTAAAATAACTTGTAATATAATGACGTTGTGTTTTAATTTTATTTATTTCTTCCTATGAGAATAAGTGTTGTATTAGAAGGGCACTAAAGAGAAAGGTATTTTAATTTCAACATATATCTATAACTTTTGTGTTTTGTTTGTCTTTTACTGAGATAGACTGTAAAGTGTATGAATCACAAGAGTACAGCTAGGTGAGGTGCTATGTATATTAATGTATATTAACACTTTCTTTTCTTTTATAAATTGTCTTTTATGTTTATTTTTATTTTTGAGAGACAGAGAGACAGAGCATGAGTGGGGGAGGGGTAGAGAGGGAGGGAGACACAGAATCCAAAGCAGGCTCCAGGCTCTGAGCTGTCTGCACAGAGCCAGCTGCAGGGCTCAAACTCAAGGACCTAAGCCGAAGCTGGTGCTTAACCGACTGAGCTACCCAGGCGCTCCAACTTTTCAATTCCATGTTGAGATTTTGGGAAGGAAGAGCCTTTTCAGGGTTTGGGACCTTTGGAGTGGTTGATAGGGCTTTGAAGAAAATATTGGTTTTAGTGGATGCTTCTTTTATTCCATAGGACACAGCCTACAACCTACACCATCATTCTCTATTCTGTTTTGTATTGACTTCATTGGCCTTCATGGTGACTGCCATTGTAATCTGTGGGACATTAGCTCCTTTATCCCTTTCTTTGTCCTTTCTTTCCTACTCAAGGACTTTTTCTAGTTTTCAAATATAGAAACACCACTTAATTTGGAAACTATGTGTTGTAGAGAAAAAAACCTCAAATGCTTTGCAAGTCTGTGTGTCTGTGATAGAAAAATTATACTGCACAGTAAGACAGGTTTAGCCACATTTTTGAAACACTTGTAAAGCCCCAAATCAATACCTGGATTTGCAAGGGTGCTTTAAGAAAGTTTCTCCAGGCTCCCCCTGGTGGCTGAGCTACTGCATGGCTTTTGGAGAGCTACAAATTATACAAAGGTGACTGCTTTGGCGTTTGGAAATTTAAAAAAGAATACAGTAAAAACAAAACGAAAACCCTCCTACACGTTATTATTCTTTATTAAAGATCGGAAAAAATTGGATTTTTTCACTTGCCAAACAACTTCTGTCAAAACAAGTCATCTCAATTATCATTAAAAACTTAACAAGCAGGGACATCTGGGTGACTCAGTCAGTTAGGCACCTGATTTGTGGTTTTGGCTCATGTCATGATTTTGCAGTTTGTAGGACTGAGCCCCATGTAACACTCTGTGCTATCAGTGCAGAGCCTGCTTGGGATTCTCTGTCTGTCCCTCCCCCACTCACCCTCTTTCTCTCCCTCTCTCTCAAAATAAATAAACATCTAAAAAAATTAACAAGCAAAAAAAAGAAGAAAAAAGAAAAAAAATCAACAAGCAAAATACTCTGGTGCCTGATGCTGTAAGGCAGCCCCTTTTATAAATTGCAGGTAGTAGTGACATGAAGTAATAACTACTAACTATGTAATTCAGAGGAGTTAATACAGCTTCCAAAAGAGTGTAAATGAAGGTCATTCTTTATGCCTCTCCCCATCTTGCTCTGTGCTCACTTCACCATCTGTTCTGAACGCGCTGTTAGTATTTCAGGTGTACTCAGCTCAGGGAAGGTATTTATACAAAAATGATTTTGCTTCTTCAAGACAGAAAAGAAATTATACTGCTTCATCTAAGCAGAGCCTGATGTACCTAGGCTTTTTCTAGGTACTTAAGGTAATTAATTTCTTAATAAAGAGAAAAGGATTTGAAAGGAGAGTGTTAACAAAGGCCACTAACATTTTAAGAGGAAACATTATGGGGGCGCCTGGGTGGCTCAGTCAGTTAAGAGTGTGACTGACTCAGGTCATGATCTTGTGGTCTGTGAGAATCCGTTTGAGCCCCGTGTCGGGCTCTGTGCTGACAGTAAAAAGAGGAAAAACTATGGTCATGAAGATTTGAGTGATAAGGAAAAATATTTATGATGTAAGTGAAAATGAACTAGGGTGTAAGAGTGCACTATAGCATTTTAACACTGTTTGGAACTGCATCGGGACAGAACTGGAGAAGGGCAATGACCAGAGGTGAGTGAGCGGTAGACAAAGAGGGCTCATTGCATGGGGGCAGCCATCTCCTTCCTTGAGCCAGACTGCCAGGGCCACTGTGGATGTCTTTGTTTCAAAAAGGCCAGGTTGAGGGGCAGCCCCAGTCCATTTCTGTCCCAGCTCAGTTTGCAAACGGCACTGACATGTAATTCTTCTCTACTGTAAGCTTTCTATTTAGTTTGCTTCTCATGATTAAGTTATTTGAGAATGAACACGCAAGCCACACGTTAGCATTCATTGCCTCTGGTGATTTAGTCCCTTTTTGTGTTGTTATTGTTCTTGATAATTTTTATAGCTTCCAAAATTTAACAGTGAGCACTGCGTCTGTAATACACAGAAATAACACAGCATCTCCAAAACCCTCATGGGACCGGTGCTTCTCCAGCTCGGCTGCTGAATCAGTTGGCTATTGCTATATAACAAACCACCCTGACACTTAGTGGTCTTAGAAGAACCATCATTTGTTTGCTCATTATTCTGTGGATCAGCATTTTGGTGTGCATTCACGGGGTAATTGTCCTGCTGTCTTTGCCTGAGGTCACTGACATGGCCGCAGTACTTTGGTCTCACCTTAAGCTGAGTAGTCTAAGAAAGCTTGAGTCACGTTTTTGGAGGTTGATGCAAGTGGTTGGCTGAGCCTTGTGTCTCCAGTTGGGTAACCTGAGTTTTTTTCACTCAGTTCCAAAAGCTGTAAGAGAAAGGGCAAGCCCTAATGTGCAGATGTTTTCCTAGTCTCTGTTTGTGTCATATTTTTTTTTAATGTTTTGTTTATTTTTGAGAGAGCAATAGAGACCACATGAGCAGGGGAGGGTCAGAGAGAGAGGGAGACACAGAATCTGAAGACAGGCTCCAGGCGCTGAGCTGGCTGTCAGCACAGAGCCCGACGCGGGGCTCTAACCCATGAACCATGAGATTATGACCTGAGCTGAAGTCAGACGCTCAACTGACTGAGCCACTCAGGCGCCCCTGTGTCGTATTTGTTAATGTTTCATTGACCAAAGTAAGTCATGTGGCAACACTCAAAGTCAATGTGTGAGGGGATACTACAAGGGCACCAGGGCATGCAGATAGATAAGACATAATGTCTCAGGGACTGTTGTTGTGACAGTCTACCACAGGTTCCCGTCAGAATCACCTAGGGAGCTCTGCAGAATCTCCATGCCCAGGTCACACACTCCAGACCAACTAAATAACAATCTGTTGGGGGTGAGACCCAGGCATCAGTATTTTTAAAGTTTCCTGATGATGCTAATATGCAACCAAGGGTGGCAACTGACACATTAATGGGGAAAAGCGTTTCCATTTAGAGAGATTTGACCAATACAACTTTTTTGAAATACAGTAAGTCCTTGGTTTGTGAGTAACTTGCTCTGCAAGTGTTCCGCAAGACGAGCAAACATTTCTAATAAATTTTAACTTGATGAATGAGTGATAGCTTGCAGTAAAAGTAGTATGTGATACGGTATGTCACATGATCACAACTGAGCCAATGATTCTTGAAATTCCCTTTGATATACAAGTGCTTTGGATTACAAGCATGTTTCCAGAATGAATTATGCTCACAAACCAAGGTTTTTCATATATGATATGTATATATGACACACACATATTTATATACTTAATCTTTATTTATTTTTGACAGGTAGAGAGAGAGTGTGTGCAAGTGGTGAAGGGGCAGAGGGTAGACAGAGGATCTGAGGCAGGCTCTGCACTGACAGCAGAGAGCCAGATATGGGGCTCGAACTCACAAATCATGAGATTATGACCTGAGCCAAAGTTGGAGGTCTAACTGACTGAGCCACCCAGGCACCTATGAAATACATTTTTATTAAAGTGTGATATCCTAGAATAAAATAAAAGGATATGTATGCTTTCATGTGTCCATATATATGTGCATGAATTTTCACATCACAGCATGGTCAATAAAGAACACAGGGGAAGAGGAGGGGCTGGGAGCTTGGGGATATTTCAGCAAGCAGGTGTGGATTTTAGGTTTTTAGTTTTATTTATTTATTTGAGAGAGGAGGGGGAAGGGCTGAGGGAGAGGGAGAGAGAGAGAATCCCAAGCAAGCTATGCACTTCATCACAGAGCCTGACATGGGGTCGGAACCGATGAACTGTGAGATCATGACCTGAGCTGTAATCAAGAGACAGACACTTAACTGACTGAGCCATCCAGGTGCCCCAGGTTTTAGATTTTAATGATGCATAATGATGGTCTAGTCCAGGGTCTATAAAGTTTCTGACATCTGTCTTCTTTATTTTTTATTATTTAAAAAATGTTTTAAAATGTTTAGTTTTGAGAGAGAGAGACAGTGAGAGCTAGGGAGGGGCAGACAGAGAGGGAGGGAGAGAGACACAGAATCTGAAACAGATTCCAGGCTCTGAGCTGTCAGCACACAGCCCGATGCAGGTCTTGAACTCAGGAACTGTGAGATCATGACCTGAGCCAAAGCTGGACACTTTATCAACTGAGCCACCCAGGCACCCTTGTCTTGCTTCTTTAAAAGCCACCTTTATGGTCAGGAAATTCCTGTCTTTGATATCATCATTGTTTTGAGAATGAATTTGGGTGGTTCTCCCTTCTTTGTCAGTTACCTTATATGGTGGTTAAGATAAATCGACCTGTGCTGAGGTAATAGTTGTCTTGAACTGAAGATATGTAATTGGGGGAGTCAGAGCCCCTGAGAAAAACCATTTTTTTCCATGAGGGACTTACCAGTTTTACAACAACAGAATAAACCATGTCAAACATGGCCCAGCAATTGCACTCTTGTATATGCCTCCAAGAGAAATGAAAACATGTCCAGATGAAAACTGCTGTGTGCCAGTCTCAGCCCATCAGTAGTCAGTGTTGTGACTGGATTGGCCCTTATGGTTCGTTCTTTTTCCTTTCTTTCTTTCTTTCTTTCTTTCTTTCTTTCTTTCTTTCTTTCTTTCTTCTTTCTTTCTTTCTTTCTTTCTTTCTTTCTTTCTTTTTCTTTCTTTCTTTTCTTTCTTTCTTTCTTTCTTTCTTTCTTTCTTTCTTTCTTTCTTTCTTTCTTTCTTTCTTTCTTTCTTTCTTCCTTCTTTCTTTCTTTCTTTCTTTCTTTCTTTCTTTCTTTTTCTTTCTTTCTTTTCTTTCTTTCTTTCTTTCTTTCTTTCTTTCTTTCTTTCTTTCTTTCTTTCTTTCTTTCTTTCTTTCTTTCTCCTTTCTTTCCTTTCTTTCATTTATTTTGAGAGAGAGAGAGAGCATGCAGCATGATTGTAAACTGAGGAGGGGCAGAAGGAGACAGAGAGAGAGAGAATCCCAAGCAAGGCTTGATGGGGCTGGAGGTGGGGCTTGAGCACATGAACCAGAAGATCAGGACCTGAACCAACTGGGTCACCCAGCGCCCTCTTGTGGTTCTTATCATGGTTGCAAGATGTCCTCACCAGGAAGCCTCAGGAAACTCTGAGACCAGTTCTATTGCTTATAGGTCTTGGAAATTACAGAGCATACCTGGGACCATGCAACAAAGTCACCAGTGGGAAAAGTGAGAGAGAATGCGTGGTCCTAGGGTTCTGCTTTTATTGGGGCTGAGGATGGGGGCCTAAAGCCTCTTGGACTCACTCTATTGGTGAGTTTAAAGCATAAAAGCCGGGGGGCACCTGGATGGCTCTGTTGATTAAGCATCTGACTTTGGCTCAGGTTATGATCTTGCGGTCCGTGAGTCCAGCCCCACGTCAGGCTCTGTGCTGACAGATCACAGCATGGAGCCTGCTTCGGATTCTGTGTCTCCCTCTCTGCCTCTCTCCTGCTTGCAGTCTGTCTCTCTCTCTTAAAAAAAAAATTTTTTTTTTAAACTCATAAAGTGGGAATTCTAAGCTCAGGAAGAAAAAAAACAAGTGGTTCAAATGGTAGTTATGGAAACCAAGCAAGATCTCTAAAATAAAGGAGCTTCAGGACCTGGAATTGAGGGGTGTGGAGGGGCTGGGGGGGTGGCGGCCTGCTTCTTTATCAAGTGGTGTGGCTGGCATTGTATTTATTCAAGATAACTGTCTTTGAAGTGGATCCCTTTTTTTTTTTTAATGTTTATTTATTTCTAGGAGACAGAGAGAGAGACAGCGTGAGCAGGAGAGGGTGAGAGAGAGAGAGGGAGTCACAGACTGAAACAGGCTCCAGGCTCTGAGCTGGCAGTCAGCACAGAGCCCGACGCGGGACTCGAACCCATGAACCGTGANGTCAGAGAGAGAGGGAGTCACAGACTGAAACAGGCTCCAGGCTCTGAGCTGGCAGTCAGCACAGAGCCCGACGCGGGACTCGAACCCATGAACCGTGAGATCATGACCTAAGCGAAAGTCGGACGCTTAACCAACTAAGCCACCCAGGCACCCCTAAGTGGATCCCTTTTTGAAGTGGATCCCTTTTTGATGTGGATCCCTTTTTGAAGTGGATCCCTTTTTGATGTGGATCCCTTGATAATTGGAACTTAAATCAGGCATTTGTATTACAAAAAAGGGAAAACCTAACTGTCAGGGCTGACACTGCAAAAACTTATGTGTGAATGCCCATAGCATTATTCATAACAACCCCCAACTGGGAAAAATCCAAATGACCATCAGGTGGGGAATGGGTAAACAAACTGTGATGCCTTCATACCATGGAATACCATTCAGTAATAAAATGAACAAACTACTGATACTTGCAGCTACAGAAAAATAATTAAAAGAAGCCAGACATATAAGACTATATTTGTGTGGTGAAATTCATTTTATTGCTTAAAAATGTTTTTAATGATTAGAATATATATTTTGAGAGAGAGAGAGAGAATGAGCAGGGGAAGAGCAGAGAGAGAGGGAGAGAAAGAAAGTATTCCAAGAAGGCTCCGTGCTGGCAGCACAGAGCCCAATGTAGGGCTTGAACCCACAAACTGTTCAGATGACCCGAACTGAAACTAAGAGTCAAGTGCTTAAACCAAGTGAAATTCATTTTAAATATCTGAAAAAGGTAAAACTATAGAGATAGGAAGCAGATCAGTGGCTACCTGGGGTAGGAGTTGGTAGTAAGGAGTGACTTCAAACAGGCACAAGGGAATTTTTGGGGAGTGATGGAAGTGTTCTAAAACCAGATAGTGGTGATGGATGCACAAATGTATAAGTTTGCTAAATATCCTCAAATTGTATACTTAAAATAGGTAAATTTTATCTCATGTAAATGATACCTCAGTAAAGCTGTTTTAAAAAATTAAGAGGAGCACCTGGGTGGCTCTATCAGTTGAGTGTCTGACCCTTGATTTTGGCTCAGATCATGATCCCAGGGTTGTGGGATGGAGCCCTGTGGTAGGCTGTGCACTGAGTGTGGAGCCTGCTTGAGAATCTTGCTCTCTCCCTCTGCCCCTCTCCCCTGCTTGCACTTCCTCTCTCTCTTTCTAAAAAATAAAAATAAAGTAAAAAATTAAGAGTCTAGGCAAGCTGCTGATGCTGAGATGCAGTCACCACAAGTTTTTAGTTATGGGCACCTCTACATTGCTTTCTCGTGGAACTTCTATTGTATCTGAGAGGAACACAATGAATCATGAAATGTTATGCATAAATTGGAAAAATGCTAGTATGGAAGGAATTAAAATCTGCCAGAGCAGATGCTACCATGACTCACGTGGAATGGTATGTGGGTAAGAAATATTTTATTTATTAATTAATTTTTTAAAAATGTTTATTTATTTTTGAGAGAGAGAGATAGAGATAGAACACAAGCAGAGGAGGGGCAGAGAGAGAGGGAGACACAGAATCTGAGGCAGGCTCCAGGCCCAGAGCTGTCAGGACAGAGCCCAACACAGAGGCTTGAACTCATGAACCTGAAGATCATGACCTGAGCCGAAGTCTGACACTTAACTGACTGAGCTGCCTTGGCACCCCAAGAAAGCATTTTAGACTTCCAGCTGAGTTAATCTTTCATTTCACTCTAGTCCAGCTGATATCTGACCAGGTGAGAGATGACAAATGAGAGCTACCCAGCTGAGCCTGGCTAACCCAGAGTTTGTATGTGAAGACACTATGTTTGGAGTGCTTTGTTATGCAGTAGTAGATAATCTAAATGAGAACAGGATGAGGAAGGACTATAGAAGTTGTTTTGGTTTCTCCAATTTAAAATCTAATAACCTTAGTAGTGAGACCAAGGAACTTAATAGCATTCTTTTAATTGTTAGCCATCTTTTCTTTGAAGCTTTATGTAACACAGAGACTCTTTCTATTTTGAATAACTTTCAGGGACCGCAGACAGAGTGGCATTGTAACAAAGGTGTTTCAGGTGGGCTACGAACTACCAAATACAGTCTCTTCTGAAGACAATGTTGAAAATGTTCTCAAAGATTCTTCAAAGCAGGCAAGTAATGAACCTGTAACACTTTCAGATAGTCACTACATTCTTGGTTCCTTCTTTCTCAGTGATCTCATCTTCTCTTGCATTTTGTAACCTGTGCTCACACATCCTATAATTGAGGTCAGTAGCAGCCATTGCAAAGTGATTTCCCTCCTGTTGGTCAGTCCATCCTGCGCGTGTTTCATCCTGCACATTAGACATTCCTACCCAGCATCACGGCCCATGCTCCAGTGTCTTCATGGACCCCCCGCTTACCTATTGAAGAAAGCAGAAACCTTTAGCCTGGCATCCCAAGTGATCAGTCTCTCTTCAGTCATCCATTCTTGCTCTGTGACTTGTCCCTGTCTATATGCCAGCCAAACTAGACACTGTATGCTGTGTGCTATCACTGCTCCCCTGGCATCCAGGCCTTCTCCTGTTATACAGTGCTTTGAATATGTGATTCCTTTGCTTGTTGTCTGTCTTCTCCATGCAGTGTAAATTTCAAGGTGCCAGAGAGCTTGTCTGCCATACTCATTGCCTTGCATAGAGGTGGGCGGGAGAAGGCAGTGAGTATACATTTGTTGAACAGATACATCAGACTGGTAGAAACCCTCTGTGCCCATAGCTGTCTGTTATGTTGAAATCTTCATCTCAGAAAAGCTCAAAGCCTCCCCTCTCTGGAAAGTGAACTAGACTTATCTACAAGGATGTTTGAAACTTCATTCCCTGGGCTGTGGGCATCGGTGAGATACATCCAAGGGCCAGAGGATGGGCTAACCCATAGGAAGGCAACCAGCCAACAAGTCTCAGTCATGGAGGTCTTGATGGGGATGACTGGAAGTCTGTGAGGGACTCCCTTCTGCCCAAGGATGGACCAGCGCCTATAGATGTGGCTGTGGGAGCAGAGCAATGGGTGCAGGTATAGTGTGGGGCTCAAGTATGATCAGGCCAGGGACCTACTGTGGGCAGCGGCGTCCAGCAGAGGCTGAGCCTACATGCATCAGCAGGTGCTCAGGCTTGAATCAGGCATAAGGGACTGGGTCCATGGAGAAGAAAGTTCATGGAGAAGAGTATAAGGACTGAGTATGGGCAGGTAGTGTACTTAAGTCCTATCTTGGTTTGACCCCACCCTTTATTTGCCTCCTGGATCTGGTGGTCCCTTTGTTATTCCCCAGACTGCCATGATTATAACATCCTGCCTTCATGTCCTGCTGCCAGCTCCTGGTCTTGGCTGCTTGACTGCTGGGCCCTACGAACCAGACATGCTGTCAGCCAAGGGCCCAGAGACAAAGCTGTGTGTTTTCAAAGTAAAGTGAAACAGATGTTACTATGTAAAAACCACTGTAAACCCTTTCAAGTAAGAAGTACATGCTATGACACTGTCTCCACCTGGCAACTTTTAATTTTCACATTCTAAATGGGTGTAATCAAGTGACTGACATGCTATCTCTTCATTCTTAGGAACTGAAAAATGGCTTTGTTGGGTCAAAACTACAGAAGAAATGTAAGGATGCTGAAAATAAACGGGGTTGGAATGTTAACCTTAGAAAGTCTCCAGGTATGACATGGCAGGACGAAGGTAAGGTTTAGAATTGTAAGCCACCAGACAAGTTCACTGCTGGTTTTCTTGTGTGCAGAGAGATTAGAATAAGAAACAGTGGAATAGAAAAGTAAACTATAATCTGAGTCTTAGTGCCGTCCTTACTAACAGTTTAAGAGCAAGAGGGCTAATCCAAGAGTCCAACAAAGTGAGATTTGTTGACCCATTGCAATGAGGGAGACCACACCGCAGAGGAACCATAGGGCATCTCACCACATAAAGGAAAAGACACAGTTATAAGGTTAGCAGCACAGGTAGAGTTTGGGAAGCAGAATTTTGAAAGACTTGAAGCAATGCAGGGCCAGGTGTAAGGTGCTCACTATCAAGCATGGATTGTAAAGAGAACCAGGGTTTTCTTCACCTTGGAAACTGCAAAAATAAGTATGGAATGCTGTGTTCCGAGACCCTTCTCTGATGCTCTGCACCAGGGTTGGAAATTGAGGCTGCTTCTCTGGTCCAAGTGACTTACGTCTTCTAGGCAAGAGTCAGAGGTTTCATTCTTGCTGATAGGATTTCAGTCAGCAAAGTTTCTGATTATCTCTGGTTTCAGAACACAAGGTTTCTCAGCAAGTAAGAAATACTCAAAAAAGGCAGGGGGGCTGTTATGACGTTTTACAGCTGCAGTGTGTCCTTGGGAGGAGTAATGTTTCCTGCTAACCTTGGCATTGGATTTATCTATTTTCTCAGCTTGATGTGGAATGTTGTAGAATGTAGCAGGGCAGATTTTTATTTTCTGAGTCCAAGCGAGTGTTTTGTTTCCCCAGTGCTTGTTCACTGAGTGGGGGCTTCTCTATATAGTTGCTACGTCTAGTTAAAGATGTGATGACAGTGGTTGCTTAAAAGGTTTTCAACTATAAAGACATATTTGCATGATTACATATATAATTACAGATGTTCACAGAATGATTGTTTTTTAAATAATTGTAGACCTTGAGGAAGGTGAAAGAACTGACTCCAAAACATGGAAAGATCTCCGTTTCTCAGAGAGTCCACGGGAAATCCCACCTTTCCATGAAGAATCGGGTTCTAGACCACCCACCCGCCAGTCTCAGGTAACTTCTAAAGAAAATCTTTAGGGTACTAAATACCACCTATATTCTTTTTTTTTAATTTTAATTTTTTATTTATATTTGAGAGAGAGAGAGCTCACGCGTGAGTGTGTGCAAATGGGGGAGGGGCAGAGGGAAGGAGACATAATCCGAAGCAGGCCCCAGGCTCTGGGCTGTCAGCACAGAGTCAAACGCGGGGCAGGAACTCACCAGCTGTGAGATCATGACCTGAGCCGAAGTCGGATGCTTAACCTACTGAGCCACCCAGATGCCCACTCTCTTTTTTTTGTTAAAAATTTTTAATGTTCATTTATATTTGAGAGAGCATACGTTCAATATTCTTAATCTTCCCATGAAATACTTTTAAGGCAGTGTCCCCAGCCTTTTCACCATGTGCCAGTCACTGTTTTAGTTCTGGCAATACCGTGTTGGACAAGAAAGGTCCCTGTACTCAGGAGCTTACATTGTATTGGGGGTGGGGGCAGGCAGATAATAAACATGTAAGTCATCAAACAAAAATGTTTAAATAGTGATAAATGTCATGAAAAAGATAAAGTTGGGTAATGGAATAGAGCAGTGGTTCTCAAAGTGCGGCCCCACAGACCAGCAGCATCAGCATCACATGGAAGCTTATTAAAAATGCAGATCCTCAGCTTCTGCACAGCCAAAGAAACAACCCAGGAAACTAATAGGCAACCAACGGAATGGGAAAAGATAGTTGCAAATGACATATCGGATAAAGGGTTAATATCCAGAATCTATAAGGAACTCACCAAACTACACGCCCGAGAAACAAACAACCCAGTGAAGAAATGGGCAGAAGATATGAACAGACACTTCTCCAAAGAGGACATCTAGATGGCCAACAGACACATGAAACGATGCTCAGCATCCCTCCTCATCAGGGAAATACAAATCAAAACCACACTGAGATACCACCTCACGCTGGTCAGAGTGGCTAAAATGAGCAAATCAGAGAACTCTAGATGCTGGCGAGGATGTGGAGAAACGGGCACCCTCCTACACTGTTGGTGGGAATGTAAACTGGTACAGCCCCTCTGGAAAACAGTGTGGAGGTTCCTCAGGAAACTAACAATAGAACTCCCCTATGACCCAGCAATAGCACTGCTAGGAATTTACCCAAGGGATACAGAAATGCTGAGGCATAGGAGCACATGTACCCCAATGTTCATAGCGGCACTCTCCACAATAGCTAAAACATGGAAAGAGCCTAAGTGTCCATCAACGGACGAACGGATCAAGAAGATGTGGTTTATCTATACCATGGAATACTACATGGCAATGAGAAACAATGAAATCTGGCCATGTGTAGCAACATGGATGGACCTTGAGGGTGTTATGCTGAGCGAAATAAGTCAGGCAGAGAAGGACAAATATCATATGTTTGCACGTATAGGAGGATTAGGAGGAACTTAACTGAGGAACAAGGGGGAGAAGAAGGGGGGAAATGGTGGGGGAAAGGGAGAAAGGCAAACCATGAGAGACTCTCGAATGCTGACAAAAACTGAGGACTGATGGATGTGGGGGGGAGGAGGGATGGGCATGGAGGAGGGCACTTGTGGGGATGAGCACTGAGTGTTATGTGGAAACTAATTTGACAATAAACTATTTGTAAAAAAAAAAAAAAAAAATGCAGATCCTCAGGCCCCAGCCCAGATCTGCTGAATGTGAAGATTCCAGCATTTTGAACCCCCTAAAAACTAGGAACATTAGGGACATATTTGGGGAATTTGACTGGAATTCAGAGGAGCAAGGGGAGCAGAAAAGGACCACAAAATATTTATCTTCCACTTTTTTTACTTCATCGGTAAGAGACTCTTGTCAGCATTCCAGCTCAATCCCACCGGAAGCTTACTTCAGCAAACATCAGAATGAATGAGGGGCGCTTGGGTGGCTTAGTCGGTTAACCATCCGACTTTCGCTTAGGTCATGATCTCACGGTTTGTGGGTTTGAGCCCCGCATCGGGCTCTGTGCTGACTGCCAGCTCAGAGCCTGGAGCCTGTTTCAGAGTCTGTGACTCCCTCTCTCTGACCCTCCCCTGCTCACGCTGTCTCTCTCTCTCTCCTAGAAATAAAACATTAAAAAAAAAAATTAAAAAAAAATGAATGATGCCAGTGGGGATTACAACATGTCCACAACCACCAGGGAGACAAGATGTCTCTGAACTAAGCACTGACCTAGGGACGCCAGCGGGGGCTAGGCAGCAGAGTAAATGCATGGTATATCCTGGGTGGGAGATAAATGACAGCCTACACTAGGGTGTAGTTTCAGGGCATAAGAGTTGGGGGTTCTCTTGCAACGTGGAATGCCCCAGTCAGTTAATGGGTTATCTCTACTCAGCTTCAGCCAACTATTGACAAGGAGGCTTACGGGCTCAGTGTTGCCACATCTCATGATTTTGCAAGAAAAGCCAGAAACCTGCCTCTTTATGTGTAAATGTTAACAATTAAATCATACTTTGAAACACCATGTGGACCAATATATCTGGATCAAATGGAACTCAATGGCAGGCCAGATTTAGCCAGTAGACCACCACTTTTTGGCATCAGGCCTGTGCCCTGTTGGATCTGACACAAAAGCAACTCAAAACCTCTGACTGCTCCCTGTTGCCTGCAGCACAAATTGTGGCTTCCTCAGCTCTGCCCACTGGGATTGTGGTGGACAGGGACCCTACTGGGGTCAGGTAGGCCTAGGTACATGAGATAATTCACATCCTGTTGACGTGACCTCAAGCAGGCGACTCAACCCTCATCATCTTCATCTCAAAAATGGGGATTATATGTGCCTCTTTGTGAGGCACTCAGATGGACACAATGTCATTTCTTTCATATTTGTACCAAAATGCGTGACTGAATCCCATCATGAGGAAACATCAGACAAAACTAAATTGAAGGAAATTCTACAAATTAAATGGCCTGTTACTCTTTAAACATGTCAAGGTCATGAAAGGTAAAGACATACTGAGGAACAATTCCATATTAAAGGAGACAAAAGACACATGACCACTAAGTGCAAAGCGTGACACTGGACTGGATCCTAAACCAGGAAAAAAATAAATCTATAGCTGTGAAGGACATCATTGGCATGAACAATGACATTTGAAGACCTGGGGATTAGATCATAGTATTGGGTAGCTGTTAACTTTTTCTGGTTTTGATAATTGCATCGTTGTGTGAGAGGACATCATTGTTCTTAGGACATGCACACTGAAGTATGCAGGGGCAGAGGGGCATTGTACCCACCGTCCATTCTCACAAGATTCAGAGAGAGATAGAGAAGGGAAGGACACCAGGCAAAATGTTAACATGAAACACTGGTCAAGCTGGGTATGCAGGAGTTATTTGTACCCTCCCTGCACCTTTTCTGTAAGTTTGAAATGATGTCAAAAGACACTATTAGGAACATTTAGAAAATGGGGATAATATTACCCACCTCATAAGGTCATTGTGAAATGTCAAGGAAATATGGCCACAAAATGCCATTTTAGTAGTGTCAGGCGCTCCTTAAGTGATAGCTTCTCCCATCCATCCACATTCTTCCTCCAGCCACTCAGACCTCTAACCCATGTGGGGCTGAACACTGCCCTGCCACTGTGCATTTGCAAGTGGGTTTCTTCTGCTTGGAATTCCCATTGTCCTTGTTTGTGTCCATTTGACAAACCTTCCTTTACTCTCCTAGGCCCAGCTCAGATGTTAGCATCCTGGGATGCCCTGTCCTCTGGAGCAACTGAATGTGATTATGTTCTCCTCTGGGGTTCCGTGGGACTTCACACACACATGCATACTATACAGTGTTTCAGTATTTTGTGTATACACCAGTTCAGGTCCTGGAGGGTAGGGACCATGTAACATTTATTTCTCCCCCTTTCTGTGTCAAACATAGATCCTGTTACAAAGTGAATGCTCAGATAAAAGTATATCAAAATGAGTTAAATGTTTTTGGATAGCAGCAGACAGTTGCTGCATATGTTCTTTTAGGTGAATCTCTGAATTTCCTAAGGATCTCAAAAGATTTTTGAGAAAAATGGAGGTCAACTTAGGTTTTTAAATGCTAAACTCTGGTCTGCCTGATGATTAATTCAGATAAGCTCTTGTTTTTAATGAAATGTACATATCTAATTATAATAGCACTTTGATATTTTTAATGTTGGTTACTTGGGGTAATCAGTACTTAATGTTTTTCCTGTCATGGTTTTTCAAAGATGGGTACTAAATATGATAAGACAGCCCATTAAAATGAATTTTTAATGAAATTTTACTATACTGTAGCTTTTACCATATATGTATCCTTAATTGTAGTTCCCTAGTTTTGCACACATAACTGGCCAGAAGAGTTTGACAAGCACAGAGATCATGAGAATTCAAAGAGAGACAGACTTTCTCAAGTAAGTATCACATTTTCTTTACTATTTCTTAAATACTACTGAGACATATTGTCAAAAAACTTAAGAATGAGATATAAGAATGGTGTTTGCTCACCCAACTGTCCTTCATTACATTTTTACAAAATGTGTTTTTAAGGGAGAGAAAGTATGAGTGGGGGAGGAGCAGAGAAAAAGTGAGAGAGAGAGAATCCCAAGCAGTCTCCACACTGTCAGTGCCAAGCCCAAAGCGGGACTTGAATCCTCAAACCATGAGATCATGAGTTGAAGTCAGATGCTTACCTGACCGTGTCACCCCAGTGCCCCAGAGTTTTACAAATTTAAAAGTATATTGATATACAATAAAATTGCACTTATTTAAAAAGTACAGCTGATCCCTATGTGTATCACAGCTTTATGTACAATAGTCAAAATATGGAAGCAACCTAAGTGTCCATCAATAGACCAGTGGATAGGGAAGATGTATTATATTTATGCAATGGAATATTATTCAGCCTTAAAAAAGATCTTGCCATTTGCAACAATGCGGATGGAGCTAAAGAATATAACACTAAGTGAAATAAGTCAGTCAGAGAAAGACAAATACCATATGATTTACTCATATGTAGAATCTACAAAACAAAACAAGGGAATAAACAAAGAGAATAATCAGACTTCTAAATACAGAGAACAAACTGATGGTTGCCAGAGGGAAAGGAGTTAGAGGGATGGGCAAAATTGGGGGAAGAGGAGTGGGAGATACAGGCTTCCAGTTATGGAATGAATAGGTCACAGTAATAAAAAAGTATAGGAAATATAGTCAATGGTAAGGGTGTTGCAAGGTGAGAGATGGTAGCTATACTTGTAGTGAGCATAGCATAACATAGAAAGAAGTTGGATCACTAGATTGTACAACTGAAACTAATTTAACATTGTGTGTCAACTATACTCAAAAAAATTTTTTGAATTCTTCATTTTGCAAAAGAAAAAGTACAATTGACATATGTATATAACCTTGAAACTACCACCACATTCAAGAAGATGAACAAGTCTATCACCTCCAAAAGTTTCCTGCACTGTACCTTTTGGAAATCTCTCCCTTATGCTCCTCCCTATTCCAAAGCAACTATTGATTTGCTTCTTATCACTGTAGCTTAGTTTGCATTTGCTTCTATCCGTAAATGGGATAATTCAGTATGTGCTCTTTTTTTTTTTGCCAGGCTTCTTTCATTTTCCTAATTATTTTGAAATTCACCCATGTTGCTGCATGTTTCAAATGTTTATTTCTTTTGATTGCTGAGCAGTATCCTGTTGTGTGGATACTTCACAACCTATGTATTCAGTTGTCTGTTGATGGACGTCTGAGTTGTTTCCAGTGTGGGACTGTTATAGATAAAGCTGCTGGGAACATTTGTATACAAGTCATCATATGCACATATAGTTTCACTTCCCTTAGGTACATATCTGGAATGAAATGGATGGGTCATATGATAGGTATATGTTTAACTTTTTAAGAAACTGCAAAATTGTTTTCCAGAGAAGGTGCACCATTTTACACTCTCACCAGCGATGTGTGAGAATCCCACTTTCTCTACATTGTTACCAATGTTTTAATTTTTATGTTTAACCATTCTAGTGAGATGGTGTTTGTGGATTTAATTTGCATTTCCCTAGTGACTAATGATTTTGAGCATCTTTAAAAGTGCCTATTTGCCTCCATACACCTTCTTTGGGAAAGTGTTCAAACATTTTGCCCTATTCAAAAATGGAATTCAATATCTCCTTATTATTGAGTTGTACATATTCTCTTTTGTTAATATATGTTTTGCAAATATTTTCTCCCAGTCTTGCCTTGTTATTTGCCTAAGAAAGTTTTTCTTCTGAAGAACTTGTTTTTATTTTTGATGAAATCCAACGTACTTATTTTTCTTTTATACTTTATATTTATTTTGACATATTTAATAAGTCTTTCCAAAACCCAAGAGAAACAAGATTTTTTGTTTTCTTCCAGAAGTTTTATCTCTTACATTTAGATCCATGATCCATGTTTTTGATTATGATGTAATGTTATTCCAGCACCATTTCTTGAAAACAGTGGTCCTTTCCTCATTGATTATGTTTGGAATATTTAAAACTAATTGATAATATTTGTGTGATTCTGTTTCTGGACTTGTTTCTGATCCACTGATGTTTGTCTATATTTACTTACTACCATACTCCCTTGATTACCATAGTTTTGTAATAAGGCTTGAATCTAAGTATTATAAATTCTCCAACTTTGATCTCTTACAAAAATGTTTTGGCTATTCTAGGCACTTTGCATTTTCAAATAAATTTTAAAATCAGCTTCTCAACATCTACAAAATGTCTGCTAGAGTTTTGATTTGGATTGCATTTAATTTATATATTAATTGATGTCATTAACAATCTTGAGTCTTTAAAGTCCAGGAAAATGGTGTATCTTACTGTTTGTTCAGGGCTTCCTTGATATCTTTCATCTATGTTATGTAGTTTTCTTTTTTTTTTAATGTTTCTTTCCTAGACTTTTTTCTTTTTTTAGATATGTGGTTTTTAAATGTTTTATTTTTTTCGAGAGAGAGAACACGTGTGCGTAAGTGGGAGAAGGGCAGACAGAGAGGGGGACAGAGGATCCAAAGTAGGCTCTGTGCTGACAACAGTGAGCCTGACGTGGGGCTCAAACTAACAAACTTTGTGATTATGACCTGAGCAAGTCGGATGCTTAATCAGCTGAGCCACCCAGGTGCCCCTGTGTTGTGTCATTTTCATTGCTCAGGTTTTACATATCTTCTGTCAAATTGATTTCTGAGTTTTTCATGGTTTTTGATACTGTTGTAAATGTTATTTCTTTTAAAATGTAAATTTCTGATAACTCATTGCTGGAATATAAAGTTGATTTTTATGTAGTGTTCTTATAAACTCACTTATTCTTTCAGGGTTTTGTTTTGTTTTGTTTTTGGTAAAGTCCACAGAATTATCTATATAGGTGATCAGGTCACCTGCAAATAAAGTCAGTTGTTTTACTTCTTTGCTTCCTATATGCATATACCTTCCCTCCGTCCCTCCCTCCTTCCTTCCTTTACTCTCTCCTTCCTTCCTTCCCTCCTTCGTTCCTTCCTTCTTTTCTTTGTATATAAATTGATTTATTTAAAAGTTACAGAAAAGCATAATAAAATAGAGATTATTCTTAGAATTATTAATGCTGTGTTAAATATCAGGTAGGATTAGAGGGTAAGAAACAGTGTAGGGTGGGGGGTGCACCTGACTAGTTCTAGAGCTTTAGATGCCTTAGTTACACTGAAGTTGATTACATATTAATTGAGCCATTACATACTAGGGTATAGTAGTTGGGTGATCAGTAATTTATCTGCAGAGAACTCCTACACAAATTAGATCCATCTAGACCTTCTCAGTGCTGTCCCCCTCTACTCCTCGGGATCCTAAAGCCACCTGGATGACAACATTCCTTATCCATATATTCTTCCCTCCCCCAAGGTGCTGGGCAAGCTAAGAGCACTCTGCTCTCTGCAGCTGGAACATATATAGATCCTTTTTTCTTTCTTTTTCTTGACTTGTTGTCTTGGCCAGAACTTGCAGTGAATTTGGAATAGAAGTGATGACAGTGTATATTCTTGCCTTATTCCTGAACCTAGGGAGAAGACATTCCATTTCTCAATATTAAATATGTTTTTTGTTGACCTTTCAGACTGAGGAAATTTTCTCCTATCCCTAGCTTGCTGAGAATTTTTTTTTCTTTTTTCCTTTTTAAAATCAGGACTGGATGTTAGATTTTGTCTAAAGCGTTTTCTCCATCCATTAAAGTGAGCATGTGGTTTTTCTTTTTTTGTTAATGTGGTAAATTACAAAGATTGATTTTCAAGTCTTAAATCCACCATGCATTCCAGAGTTAAATCTCACATCAAGTATTATCTATTTTATATAATGTTTAATTTAATTTGCTAAAATATAAAGAATTTTTTGCGTGTATATGCATGAAGAATATTGGTCTGTAGTTTCTGTGTCTTTTTGTCAGATTTTAGTGTCAGGGTAATGCTGGGTTCATAAAATGAGTTGGGAAGTGTTCTCTCTTTTTTAATTTTCTGAGTTTGTGTAGAATTGGTATTATTTCATTCTTAGGTGTTTGGTAGGATACACCACTGAAGGCACTGGGGTCCAGAGTTTTCTTTTAAGGAAGATTTTAAACTACACATTCAATTTATTTAATAGATATACGTCTGTTTGGGTTTATCTATTTCTTTTCAAGTGAGCCTTGAGTTTCATTTGCTTCCCCCTTTTCTAATTTCTTGAATGTGGGCAATGAAGTCTTTCATTTGAAGTCTTTCTTCTTTCTAATATAGGCACTTAGAACTCTACATTTCCCTGAATACTGCTTTCGCTCCTAATCTTGGTATGTTGTGTTTTCATTTGGTTTCGGTGTAAACTTTTCTGCCTTGGTGGTTTCTTTTTTGACCCATGGGTTATTTGAAAGTATTTTTTTAAATTTTCAAATATTTGGAGATTTTCCTTGTATCTTCTGGTGTTTATTTCAAATTTAATTCCTCTTTTGGTCAGAAAGCGTATATTGTATGATTTGATTGTTGAATGTTCCATGTTTACTTGAAAGGGATATGTACTTTGCTAGACTGAGTATTCTGTAAATGCGAATTAGGTTAAATTGGTTGATAGTATTGTATCAAAGAGTATTAACTCTTCTTTATCTTTACCGATGTTTCTGTCTATTGCTTAGTAAATGATTGAGAAATTTATGATTATAATTATGAATTTGTTTACATACCCATGCCTTCTATCAGATTTTGCTTCATGTATTTTGAAGCTTTACTATTAGGTATAAACCTTTTGGATGCTTATGCCCTCTCTATCATTATAAAATAACCTCTCTAACCGTGGTGATACTCTTTGCTCGGAAAGCTACTTTGCCTGATATCAGCGTAGCCATTTCCTGTTTTCTTCTGATTAGTGTTTGCATGGTATATCTTTTTTATCCTTTTACTTATAACCTATTTGTTTTTCCTTATTTAGAGGTTTTAAAAATGTTTATTCATTTTTGAGAGAGAGAGAAAGAGAAAACACACTGGGGAGAGGTAGAGTGAGGAGGACAGACAATCTGAAGCAGTCTGTGGGCTGACAGCTTCCATGCTGACAGCAGCGAGCCAGATGTGGGTCTCAAACTCACGGACTGTGAGCTCATGACCTGAGCCAAAGTCGGATGGTCAACTGACTGAGCCACCCACTCACCCCTACAAAATTTTTTTAAAGCAGCATCTAGTTAGGTCTTTTAAAAAGCTGATAATTTCTGCATTTTAATTGGGGTGTTAAGAGTATATTTATTCTGACTATTGATATGTTTGAATTTAAATCAATCATCATGCTATTTGTTTTGTTTGTCTTATCTGTTCTCTGTTGCTCTTTCCTTTTTTCCTGCCATCTTTTGGATTAATTTGGTATGTTTCATGATTCCATTTTATTTTATAGGCTTTGTTGGCTTATTACCTATACCTTTTTTTTTTTTTTAGTGGTTGCTTTAGGGTTTGTAGTGCATATTTTTAACACATCATGGTCTATCCTCAAGTGGCATTATACCACTTCATATATAGCATAAGAACCTTGTGATAGTATACTTCCAGGAACCGAGTAACATTGGCCTTTGTGCTATTATGGTCCCTTGTTTTACTTCTACAAATATGATTTCCACAGTACATTATTACTTTTATTGGGTATAATCAATTTTTTTGAGGCCCTTTATACTTTTATTGTGGTAAAATATACATAAATAAAATCTACCATTTTAACAATTTTTAAATGTTTATTTATTTTGAGAGAGAGAAAAAGAGAGCGCATGCATGTGTACTTGTGCATGTGAGCAGGGGAGGGGCAGAGAGAGTGAGGAAGAGAGAGAATCCTAAGCAGGCTCTGCACTGTCAGCACAGAGTCTGACATGGGGCTTGATTTCATGAACTGTAAGATCATGACCTAAGCTGAAATCAAGAGTCAGTCGCTTAACTGATGGAGCCACCTGGGAGCACCCCCGTTTTAAGAAATTTTAAGTGTACAATTCATTGACATTAAGTATAGTCACAATGTTGTGCATCCATCACCACTATCCATTTCCAGAACTTTTTTGTCACTCTAAATAGAATTCCGTTTCCATTAAGCAGTAATTCCTTTACACAATCCTTCCAGGCCCTGGTAACCTCTGTTCTCCTTTCTGTGTCTATGAATTTGCCTATTCTGGTTACCTTATGTAAGTGAAAACAGACAATATTTGTATTTTTGTGTCTGACTTATTTTACGTAGTATAGTCTTTTCAAAGTTCATCTCGTTGCAGTATGTATCAGAATTTCATTCCATATTAAAAATGAAAAGTAATCCATTATGTAAACACCACAATTTGTTCATCCACTCATCTGCTGATGGACATTTGAGCTCTTACCACCTTTTGACTATTATGAATAATGCTGCTGTGGACATTGGTGTACAAGTATCTGAGTCCCTGATTTCAATTCTTTTGGGTATTTACCTAGGACTGGGGTTTCGATTTTATGGTAATTCTTTGTCCAACGTTCTCAGGAACTCCCAAACTGTTTCCCACGGCAGTTACATCAGTTTACTTCCACCAGAAATGCATGAGGGTTCCTGTTTCTCCATATCCTCACCAATACTTGTTATTTTCTATTTATCTAATAGTCACTGTAATAGATATAAAGTAGTATTTCATTGTGGTTTTGATTTGCATTTTTTTTCTTTTTAAGAATTAAGTACTCTTTTTTTTTTTAATGTTTTATTTATTTCTAGGAGAGAGAGAGACAGCATGAGCAGGGGAGGGTCAGAGAGAGAGGGAGTCACAGACTGAAACAGGCTCCAGGCTCTGAGCTGGCAGTCAGCACAGAGCCCAACGCGGGGCTCGAACCCATGAACCGCGAGATCATGACCTAAGCGAAAGTCGGACGCTTAACCGACTAAGCCACCCAGGCGCCCCTTGATTTGCATTTTCTTTATGACAAGTGATGCTGAGCATTTTTGTCATGTGTTTCTTGGCCATTTGTGTATCTTCTTTGGGCAAGAAGTGGCCGTCCAGCGTGCCTGGCAAGAAGACATGGCACTTAGACTGGGCTCAGAGGTCATGTAGGAAGTCAGAAAAGTACAATTAATGTAGACATTACTGGAATTGCTGGGGCTCACCCTCACACATGCAAGATCCAGTGTGATAGGATGAGTCCAAGAAGGATCAAGGCTGCTGATGAACTTCTGCCACAGTCAGGAAGTGAGTTAGCCAGGCCAGGTGAGGGGCACCAGCGGGTCCAGGTGGAAGGCCACTTTGTAATAAAATGACTGGAGAAGCGTCTCTTGTCTTCAACTTGTTCCATAGCCTTTGAGAGTGGTCTGCTCTTTGTTTTGCTTTTTATTTTCTAAAATGTTTGAATATGTTGAGATTTTCACCTGACTTCTAAATGTGAACCCCTCAGAACATGGCCAACGAGGAACCTTTTTTTGTTGTAGGTGTGCCCACTGCCTGGCTCCCCGCCCATCTGACCCCTTTGCCCGCTTCTGTCAAGAATGTGGCTCTCCTGTCCCGCCCATATTTGGCTGTCGTCTCCCACCCCCAGAAGGAGCTCAGGTGAGCAGCAGAATCTTTAAAAAACGCCTTTTGTTGGTTTATCTGATCTTTAGTAGCGGTGGTAGCATTGTATCTGGCACATGTGATCCACAAACATAAACATTTGTTAAAAAACAATGTTAATGTCTTACTATCCAGTCTCCTGCTTCGGGATGGAAAACCCAAAAACCCTAGACGTTGCCTTAGTTTCCATTCAAGAATGGAAAACCTTATTTGCAATGCCAGTGCAGATAGCCTTGCAGAAGCACACGCTCAGAAGGAGACTGAAGTCTTATTGTTTCAATGATGCATGCATGGATAAATATGTTTCCTACTCACGTGATATTTCGGTTCATAACCTGGGTATAGTAAGGAAATATATTCTGGAAATAAATGGAGAGAGGTACTAGTTACAAGTCTGTATATTTATAAGATACATCATTTTGTTCAAAGACACTGTATAAACTAAAGGTTGATCAATTAAAAAATGTTGTCTGTTATGTGTAGATAATAATTGGTATTAGCCTACTAATAAGTTTATAGTTAGTTAGAAAACATACTCAGTTCACTAACAATCAAAACCTTCACTGAAATGTGTTACCTGTTACGAACTTGATACTTTGGGGGGTTTTTTGGAGTAGGGTTTACAAAATGAAATAAAAGGATCTGTGATGTGGACTGAAAAATAACTTTTTAAGAAGATAGTCACTAAGAAAAAGCCACTAATTCAGTGAGGTCAAGTCGAATTCTGGAAGTAAGTTATGTCTTCAAGCAAAGGGTTGGAATCTAAACAGGTATCTTTTTATTATTGATTCTAATTCATTACTCAAGACTGTTGTAGAAGTTAGTTTAATTTACTATAACAAATTTTGAGCTTCATAAAGAAGATCAAACAGCAAATAAAATATGAACAGGTCCCATTGGTTGAATTTTCCTTGCTTATATTCATTCGTTGGTGCAGTGTCAAAGTTATTTTTTACTTGCCTGAAAACAAATTTTCAGAACTTTCTTTGTTTTTAGAGGGAAGAAAAGTTACCAGAGATTATAAATATTTTAAATGATGAACTGAACTTTGAAACATCTGTATTGCCCCTAAACTAATATTTGTTAATATGTTGTAATATATAAACAGCTTTGTAATTTGAACTATTTATTGGCTACTTACTGTGTCCTGCTTTCAGCTGGATTTCTGGGATTCAGAGGGGTGGAGCGTCCTCCTAGGCTCTTAGATCCAAGATACTCAGTCTCTGGAGAGACGCAGAAGTACCCCTTAGAGCTCCAGATCCACCCTTCATTGCCTCACCCTGTGGGTGCTACACCTTTATACATTTCTCCAGTGCCAGCTGGCTACATGTTCATTTCTGTTAGTAGCAGGGCATTGCTGCTGGAGGGACACTGCAGGAGAAAGGGCTTGGCTTTTCTTCTGGTTCTGGTATGCTTTTCTCTCTCTCTGCTCTGATGTACTCAGTAGCCTGCAGGAACCCAGTTTTACTGAACCTCAGTGCATTTTGGTGGCATCCCATGAACAGCTGCTCAGTGAGTTTCACTGGCACGCCAGACAGCTTGCAGATAGTTCTCAGGCATCCCAGGGGGCAGTTTGCCAGCGACCTGCAGCAACAGGCCTGCACATGGCTTCCCAGCACATTCTACCAGCTCCCCAGAGGGAGATTTCCAAACAAGTTTCATTGGACTCAGTTTTTTGCTTCTTTCCTTGCCAGTTTGGTTTTGTGTCACCCCAGTTGAACTTCTCCATCATCCAATGGGTGACACCCATACTCCTTTTCCTCCCCATTTACTTATCTTTCCTGTAACATATAATGTCCTACATATTACATCTATATATGTTATAAACTGAAAATGCAGTGTTACACAATCTTACATCATATAAAAATGAGAAAAAATGTTTATGTACTCATTTATATTTACCCACATATTTATTAAATCTGGTCTCTCGTATCTTCATTTTTTTACTGTGAACTCAGGTATTCACTAGTGTCACTTATTTTCAGCCTGGCAGACCTCTTTTTACTAACGGCATGTCTGCTAGCTGTTTCTCTTTGTCTTTGTTTATCTGAGAACATTTACTTTGCATCCTCTTTTGAAGGATAGTTTTACTGGATGTAGGATTTTTGTATAACAATTATTTTTATTTTCTGCCCTTTGAGTATATTTATTCTCCTACCTTCTGGTCTCCATGGTTTTTAATGTATGTGATAAGTCATTTTTTGTCTTGTTACTTTTAGGATTTCATCTTTGACATTCAACAATTGTACTATATTGTGTCTAAGTATGGATCTTTTTGTGTTTATCTCTCTTGGGATTGATTTTCTTGGAGCTAATTTTTTTTTTTTTTCAAATATAGGAAGTTTTTGGCTAGTATTTCTTCAAATTCTTCTGCCTTTTTCTCTCTCTTCCTTTCTTCTAGGACTCCTTTACATGTATGTTGATAGGTTTTATATTGTCCCACAGCTTATTTCATAGTCTGTTCATTTTCTTCCATCCTTTTTCTCTCTGTTCTTCAGATTGGAAATTTTCATTGTACTATATTCACGTTCATTGATTCTTTCTTCTGTCATCTCTGACCTGCTGTTGAATCCCTCTGAAGATTTTTTTTCCATTTCAGTTATTTTAATTAACTCCAGATTTTAATATGGTTCTTTTTAAAAAATAATTTCTAGGGGCGCCTGGGTGGCTTAGTCGGTTAAGCGTCCGACTTTCGCTTAGGTCATGATCTTGCGGTTCGTGGGTTCGAGCCCTGCGTCGGGCTCTGTGCTGACTGCCAGCTCAGAGCCTGGAGCCTGTTTCAGAGTCTGTGACTCCCTCTCTCTAGGACCCTCCCCTGCTCACCCTGTCTTTCTCTCTCCTAGAAATAAATAAAACATTAAAACAATTTAAAAAAAAATAAAATAAAAAATAATTTCTTTATTTAGATTCTCTTTTTTTCAAATCATTGTCATCATACTTTCTTTAATCTTTTAAATATGGTTTCCTTTCATTCTTTGATCATTTTTATAATAGCTGTTTTGAAATCTTTGCCAAATCCAACATCTGGGGATACTATTTCTATGGACTATTTGGTGTTTGTTTTTTCTCTCTGTGAGTATAGGTCACACTTTCTTGTTTTTTGTGTGCCTCATATTTTTTTTTCTTGAATTCTGAACATTTTAGATTATATAATATACTGTAACAATTTTGGATTCTGACTTTTTCTTCTTGTTTTTTTTTTTTTTTCTTTTCTTTTTTGTTTTATTTTGTTGTTGTTTACTGGGATTACATTTTTCACATTTGTCTCCCCTGAAATGTGTGGCCACTGATATCAGGTTTTTTATTCCTGTTTTTATTTTTAAGTCTGGGCTCACCCCTGGATCTACATAGCTTAGAGTTCAACTGAAGATGGGCCAGAAGTTGTGCTCGAATACCTTGGTCCAGTAAGGCTTTCAGTCTCTGCTGATGGATCTATGTGTGGACTGGATCATACATTCAAGCTTTAGGCTGTTTACAAGTCTGCCACAGCTTTTACTTTATGCTGAATTCCCTTGCATCTCCGAGGATAGCCTCCATCAGCCAGAGATGTGTTAGTGGCTTATGTTCACTCTGGTTTATGCTACACATATGCATATCCTCCAGTCAACTAAGAGTATGTGGGGAGCTTATCAAACCCCCTATGTTTGACCTTACTCCTGGAACTCTCTGTTAAATCCCTGGCTGGTTGCCTCAAACAGGACCATGATTTCAGGCTAGTAGAGCCATTGGCCCTTCCTGTTTGCTTGCCGCTGAGATTGTCATCTTAGCAGTGCTCCAAATCAAGTGAGCCTTGCCTATCAGCATTTGCTGTTTTCACAGTCTGTTCTATCCCAGTGAGGCTACCACACTAACAGAGCTGGAGGAGGATGAGAACAGCCTCAAGCAGGACCACGTGGACTTACTATGTTTTTATCTGAAATTCACCACTTTTCAGTTTCTTATGTGCCTTTGGTGACTTTTAGAGTCTGAAATGGTTGTTTTTTGTACCCAAAATGGTAGTTTTATCCAACTTTTTAAAAAGTTTTTATTTATATTGAGAGAGAGAGAAAGCACAAGCAGGGGAGGGGCAGAGAAACATGAGAGAACAAGAATCCCAAGCAGGCTCTGCACCCCGCCAGTGTTGAGCCTGATGTGGGGCTCAAATTCTCGAACCCCAAGATCATGACCTGAGCCGAAGTGGATGCTTAACTGACTGAGCCGTCCGAGCACCCTGGTTTTATCCAACTCTATAATTGCCTTTTGGAGAGAGGATTTGTGGGCTTCCTTACTCCATTTTACTATAAGATATTTTTTCCTTTGGGGAGACTGGGTCACTCAGTTCGTTAAGCATCTGACTCTTGGTTTCAGTTCAGGTCATGATCTCATGATTCGTGGGTTTGAACCCTGCATCAGGCTCTGCACTGACCATGTGAAGCCTGGTTGGGATTCTCTCTCACTCTGTCTCTCTGCCCTCTCCTGCTTGCACTCTGTCTCTTTCTCAAAATAAATAAACTTAAGAAAGAAAGATATTTTTCTTTTAAAAATTGTTTTTAAGTTTGTTTCTTTTAAGAGAGAAAGAACGCATGCACATGAGTGAGGGAGGGACAGAGAGAGAGGGAGAGACAGAATCCCAAGTAGGCTCTGCACTGTCATCACAGAGCCTGACGTGGGGCTCAAACTCATAAACCACAAGATCATGACCTGAGCCAAGATCAAGAGTCGGACACCTGTCTGACTGAGCCATTCAGGCGTCCCAAAGATATTTTTTCTTTTCTGTTTTTCACAACCTTGTTTTCCACAATAAACTTCTTTTTACTCACAAAGAAAAAAATAAGAATAAAGGTAATTATTTTAAAACATTTTTTACCAAAGCAAATTAAATCTTATATTCCAAGATCTACTTATACCTTCGGTTTTTGCATTCTAAGACAAACCTCTTTCTTTGTGCAGATGAGCTTATGTGCAGAGTGTGGAAACATGGTGCCCATGAACACTCCCATCTGTGTAGTGTGTGAGGCCTCTCTTACTCTACAGCTGCAGCCACAGGCCAGCCTGCGCTTGAAGGTAATGAAACGTGATTCTGTAAAAACATGAATAAAATGTGTAGAAAGTGATATGTAGGCAGTGAAATATCTTCAGCTGGTGGAGTTGGTGAACAGTTGATAAACTAATATCTGTGAACAAAATCCATTCTAATTGTTGAGAAGGCATGCTGACCAAGAGTTTTACCTGCTGATAGGATTTATAATGTAAGAGTGATACAAAGAAGCACATTTCCTGAACATGGATTTGAAGGATAAAATGCATACAGCTGACTCAGACAATTTTTTTTTTTGACTCAGACAATTTTTTAAGAATTTTTTTTACGTTTTTCTATTGATTTTGAGGTGGGGGGAGGGGCAAAGAGAGAAATTCCCAAGCAGACTCCACACTGTCAGCGTGGAGCCCAATGCAGGGTCTGAATTCAGAAACCATGAGATCATGACCTTGAGCCAAAATCAAGAGCCGGTTGCTTAACCAATGAGGCCATCCAGGCACCCTGACTTAGACAATTTTTTAGTTTATATATTTAAACTTGAACATTGCAATTAATATTGGAATTAAGCACTTTTACTCATGTCCTTAAAACTGCTTTATGCTTTTATTTGCTTTATTTGTTTATGGGTCCATGTTATATAGAAAAGAATAATTATAATCAGTCATATGGATGAAAAAATTAAGAATAAAAAAAGAAAATGTTAAATATTATCATCATATATATTCAGAAGCCTTTGCTAGACAATGTCATACCATGGAAATATTTTTGGTAGAATCACTAAATATACAACTGTATCTTTTCTCCATTTTTCAATTTACAGTCCCATTCATTCCTCCTCTTTAATCTCAAGTAAATATCACTAGAGAATAAAATAGATTTAATAAAGAGGATTTGAGCCATAAAAATGTAAGAATTTTTAGTAATAAGGGAAATGGATAGATTTAATGTACAATTGGAACTGTAACACTCCTAAAGTCACTTTGTGAATTTTCGTACGGGCAAACAAAAAAAGGCAAGTCTACTTTTTCTTCCATCTCCAAGCTCCCCTTCACTCTGAAAGGTTTTTAAGTATTCTAAGCGGTGCAAACCTTCAGAAATGAGGCATTGAAGAACTGGTTGGGCCAAGGTCAGGGAAATGAAAATTTAATAATTTTTTTGGTGAATGGAGCAGGAGTGGTAAGAGACTGGGGCATTAGAGTCAGTAGATACTTGCTTTAGGGTCCCTTGAATAGGAAAGATTGAGGGTAGGGGGTCTGAGGAAGGAGTGGTCTCCAGGCTAGTCCTCCCAGGGTCACAGGCATTCGGGCCTACTCTGAGGCTGTTGGCATCCCTCACTATGGTGCAGCTGTGAAACTTCTCAGCAATTTCTCTAAGTTCTGCCTGGCACCTCTGGTGTGAACGCTCACACACCGAGGGCATTTTTCAGAGACACCTTTGATGCGCCTTTTCCTCAGCATGCCGCTTCCTGGGCCACTCTCTGCGCCTCTGCACCCAACATTCCCTGGACTCTGATCCCTGGACCCAATGCCCCTATGCCTGCCCACACTTGCAGCCATGGAAGTGGCAGTCGTGGTGGGTGAGTGGGTGGGGACACAGAGGGAGAATTCACTAACTCTTATCAGGGGCTGGGGCCAGGGTTAGCTTTTAAGAGGGAGTGTCATCTGATGGATATGGTGGGAGGCATAAGCATTTGCCAGATGGGGAAGAGCTAAGACAAAGAAAAGTGGCTTGTGGTATATGTGTGAGGTGGAGGTGGGGGGAGGGCATTCTAGGAAGATGTCCAGAGACTGGAAACTGCAGGGTATGCTTCAAAACTCTGTGAAAGGTTTGGTTTTGCTGAGCTGCAGAAATGCTGGGGGTGCTGTGGGATGTGCAAGATGGCACCTTCGTTACCGTACTTAGCAGCTCAGATTTCTTCGAGTGCACGCTAAAGGGTTGAAAACAAGAATAGGATTTAATGAGATTTGATTCTCTAGAGAGACTTTTTTCACTATAACATCTGCTCTTAAAGGGAAATTCCTGATTTTTATGGCCAATCAGTATTGCTGCCTCTACTCACAGAAGGACACCTGTTTGGAAACCCTAGGCTAAGAATCTGCATCCCAGTAGCTTTCCCAAATGTTACAAGGGCAGTAGATTTTTAGATAACATTTTCGCCCAGAGAGCAACCTCTGAGGTCAGTGGAAATTCCCGTTGTTCACAGAAGCCAACAGCCTTACCTTCCCCAAGGCACCAGCAGGGCCTGTTATTTTTGTGTACTCCATCTCATTCCCCATAGTGCACAAAGCACCATCCATCCTCTTCCTGCTCACAGTCCACTGCTATGGACTGATCTTATGTTCATTTAAAGGCCATGTCAGTGCTGAGAAATTTTGTTCTATCAGATATATATATATATATATAGAATACCCTTCTATGTATTTTTTAGGATGCACAGGAATATATGCATATATATTTGCACATTTAGATTTTAGATTTGGTTTTGTTTTGTTATTTATTTATTTATTTATTACTTTATAGGTGGGAAGGGTCAGAGAAAGAGAGAGAGAGAGAGAGAGAGAGAGAGACTGAATCTTAAGCAGGCTCCACGCTCAGTGCAGAGCCTGGCATGGAGCTTAATCTCACAACCTTGGGATCATGACCTGAGCTGAAATCAAGAGTAAAATGCTCAACTGATTGAGCCACCAAGATGCCCCTTGTTTTGGTTTTTAAAAAAGTGTATCCCACTGGTCAGTTTCTAAACTTGAAAATTAATTTGAGGGTCTTCCATTTCACCAGAATACATGAGCTCTCCTTTACCAAGAGATCATGTTTTCTTTGGACTCTAACTAGCAATATATAGCATACCTCCAGGTCTCCAGTCATATTGGGTTCCTAAAATCTAAGAGGCCTAGGGCAGGAATCCTCTTGAAATTATTACTGAAAAGGGTCTGATGATTCACGTGACTGGGGTAGTTACCTCCTTATAAGACCCCCACCTCTCACATAATGATTTGAGGCTGAAGCCAGTGTAACCACAGCTCTGCATCAAGCAGAACTTTAACTTGGCATCTTTTACAAGATCCACTTGGAGATGAAGTTTGCCATGGCCTACTTCATTCTTCCTCACTTCATTTTGTCAAAGCCTATCATCTAGGAGATTAAAAAATTGTTCTTGTCTCCCAACTACTTTGTGAGGAAAAATTTACCCCAGTAACTAACTTGAGTCCACCAAATTGCTTAGAACCTTTCAACTAGACACATTGCAAATGCTGTGGATGACCTGGCAGATGAAGTTTGACTTTTTTTAAAAAAGACCCTCATCATAGATGTTTAGCATCTTCATTAAGGTCCTCTGATAGTGGCCTCAATCTCAGGTCACCCCTGTGGACATCTATGAGTGTAGTGATTATGATGTAAAATTATTTCTATCTGTGGGTTATGATCACTGCTCTTCAAGGAAGGGAGCCATGACATGGTGTCAAGAAGCCACTGCCAAAGCCATTAGAAACACCTATTGACCAAGAAGGCTATGTTTATTGGACCTGATACAGTAAGGTAGACTGGCACTTTGTCTTGGTAGTGTCTCAGAATGGAGAAGGCAGGGGAAGGTGTTTATGGGATTTTAGTGCTGCACTTGGGTGATTGCTTGGGATTCTCTCTCTCTTTCTCTGCTTCTCCCCTGTTCACGCGCTCTCTCTCAAAACAAAATAAGTAAATAAAAACTAAAATATTTTTTTAAAAAATTTAAAGGGAGTTTTGCAAGCCAGGGTTGGGATAGGGCAGAGTTAGTTTGGACAGGGCAAAGTTAATAACATGCTAATTTTAAAAATAGTTTATTTAAATAAAACTTTAATATATTTAAGGTGTTGATGTTTTAATTTACATATACATAGTGAAATGATTACTACAGTCAAACTAATTAATATATCCACCTCTGTATAGTAGAAATTTTCTAAGAGAGTAGATACTGGTGTTTCCAGGACACTTGCGCACGTGCACTTGAACACACAGAAGTGTTAACAATGTGAGGATATACTAATTTTCAATTGTGTCCCCTGCAAGGTGAGGTTCTTGAGGAAAGCTGTTGGACTTGATAAGTAAGGAGTTTTACTGATTTGCAGTCTTTCCAGAAGATTTCCTGCAGCAAACAGCTATGTTATTTTTGTTTGATCTTAGTATCTTTTTAACACAGGGACAGGAAATTTGATTCACTTCTCAACAAGTGTCACCAGATCTTTTTTGAGGCAACGTCTTCAGGAAGATTACAGCCTTAAATCTCACAGAAAAGCTCTGGCAATTGTAGATTATGCCACAGAGATTTCAAGCAGCTTTGAAAAATGCTGGATCCAGGGAGTGTCAGGATCCACTGAGAGCAAGTCTGTGATCCTCTACTATTTTGAATAGCAGTCGGCCGCCCATTTGCACGTTAGGAGTTCTTTGAATTGCAAGAACTTGGAATCTTCTACTAGAATGGAATTCGCCAGCCTTGGAAAGGCCAGGGACTTCATAGCCTTCCTAGTGGCATTGGAACTAAAACCTTGGGAGTTGGACTTTCTTTCTCTTGATGGTCTTCTTTACCTGTAGAGCTTCAGAACACATGGTATCAATTTCGGAACAGCTGGGAAATGTCAATATTGGGGTAGAAAGGAACATTTGAGTATCACTGGTCATTGATAATTGAAGGGAATAGTATCCTAATAGTGCAGAATGGTCCAGTGACTGAACAGCTGTTAGCAAACCTCTTATAGCTGAAGTCTAGTTAGACTATTTTAATCTTTCTTTTCTTTTCCTTTCTTTCCTTCTTTTCTCCCTTCTTCCTTTCTTTCTTCCTCCCTCCCTCCCTCTCTCTTTTTCTTTTTTCTCTTTCTCTATTTCTTTCTACCTTCCTTCCTTCTTTCTTTCCTTCCTTCCTTCCTTCCTTCTTTCTCTCTCTCTCTCCCTCCATCCCTTCCTTTTCCTGCATTGCAACTTATCCTCAGTTTCCTGACTCAGAAAGTTGCCCTTACCATTATTTTCTTTTTTCTTTCTTTCTTTTTTTTAACGTTTATTCATTTTTGAGAGACAGAGGGAGACAGAGCGCAAGTGGGAGAGGGAGACACAGAATCTGAAGCAGGCTTCAGGCTCTGAGCTGCTAGTACAAAGTTCAAGGTAGAACTTGAACCATGAGATCATGACCTGAGCCAAAGTTGGACGCTTAACCAAATGAGCCACCTAGGTGCCCCCTTGCCATTTATTTTCTAAGAGACTTTTCATTCTTCCATTTCTGAGAAAATACAGAGCAAACCTAAATTCATTAACATGAATTCCTATGGAGTAAGCCCCAGTCCAAGAACTAGAGTACATGTAATTTTTTTAAAGTTTATTTTTAGAGAGAGAAAGAGAGAGAGCATGGGAGGGGCAGAGAGAGGGAGAGAGAATCCCAAGCAGGCTCTGTGCTGTCAGTGTGGAGCTTGATGCAGGGCTTGAACCCACAAACTGTGAGATCATGATCTGAGCTGTTGTCAAGAGTCAGACACTTAACCAACTGAGCCACCTGGGTGCCCTAAGAGCTAGATTGCTGGTAAACACATAGATCAGCTTTTGCTAGTCTTGGGCTTTTCTGTTTGTTGTTCACGCCATGAGATGGAGAGCCAACAATCTCGTTTTCCACACTGGGGAAAAAAACCTCAAAAAACTGACCCATAATCAGTGCAAAATTTTGCTTTCCTAAGGCCAAATGAACACTCCTTTTCAGTTTGTTCATTTTGGGTTTTGTTTCTTTTAAAATTATTTTCAAATTTCTGACACTATTTATGTTGTCATACTTCCTAAACCAATCCTGTAGTGTCTGAGTGGTAAAAAAAAAAAAAAAAAAAAAAAAAAGTCAGTAGTTGTCTGATTGACTGAAAAGACTGCTCAATGATTTCTTTGCATGGATGTTTTCTCAGAGGAACATGTATTTCTTATTCTTTGTTTTCAAGGAGAAAATAATCTGCCGCACCTGTGGCACAGGGAATCCAGCTCACCTGAAATACTGTGTCACCTGTGAGGGGGCCCTGCCATCATCACAGGAGGTAGGCTGACTGTATGAGCCAGTCCTATACTTAGCGGCTGCTAAATGTCCAGTGTTAAGAAAAATAAAGAAATACAATCTGTAGAGGAGGGAAGAAGTGAGAGAGGGTGGAGAGAGACACCTGAAAGCAATATGTCTAAATGTGGAGAAGACTTTATATATTCACCAAAACAAAACGGTTTTCAAAGTCTTAACTTCAGGGGGATTCAATAAAATCAACAATTTCTTACAATTTCATTTAGTAACTTTGCATGGAAGGCAGGCAGTAGCCACTTTTAAGTCATTCAAAGACAGAAGTATGTCTTTATTGACTGCACCATGCTATTTTTTGAATTGAAAACATGGTGGGTACCCATTTCTGGATTTTCTACCAGCCTATTTTGAGTATTCAAAGTGAAGGAATAGGAGTATGTACAACTTAAATACAGTGAATGGGTTCAGTTTAGGTGATTGGTTTTACGTTTCTAAAATGTTTCCTATAAAGAGGAGGCTTTAAAAATGACTTTCATGCTTTCAACAATAGTGAAATTATGGAAAGAGCCTGAGTGTCCATCAACTGATGAATGGATAAAGAAGATGTAGTTTATACATACAATGGAATACTACTTGGCAATAAGAAAGAATGAAATCATGCCATTTGCAGCAATGTGGATGGAATTGGAAGGTATTATGCTGAGTGAAATAAGTCAGTCAGAGAAGGACTGATATCGTATGTTTTCACTCTAATGTGGATCTTGAGAAACTTAACAGAAGGCCGTGGGGAAAGGGTGGGGGAAAAATAGTTTCAAACAGAGAAGGAGGCAGGCAAACCATAACAGACTCTTAAATACAGAGAACAAACTGAGAGTGGATGGGGGTGTGGGGGAGAAGGGAATATGAGTGATAGGCATTGAGGAGGGCATTTGTTGGGATGAGCATTGAGTGTGGTATGTAAGTGATGAACCATGGGAATCTACCTAAAAACCAAGAGCATACGTTACACACGGTATGTTAGCCAATTTGACAATAAATTGTATTTTAAAAAAATGAGGTCAGACTGGATTAGAGGTGGGCCCTAAATCCAAAGACTGGTGTACTTATAAGAAGGTCATATGAAGACACTAAAAACACACAGAGAGAAGGCCATGTGAAGAGAAGGCCAAGGAAGAGATTAGAGTGAAGCAGCTGTAAGTCAAGGCATGCCAAGGAAGGTTTGCAACCACCAGAAGCTAGGAGAGGCCTGGGATGGACTCCCTCTCCCCTCCACAGTCTTCTGAGGGAGCATGACTCTACTAACACCTTAGTCTACAGACTGTGTACAAATAAATCTATTGTTTTAAGCCAAAAACACAAACAAAAAAAGACTTCCAGGTGACAGGTGACTCTTGCCCTGGCCTAACAAGTCCAAAAAGAAGCTGGCATTTACTAGCTGACTTAGAAGAAAAAACTTGCTTCCTTGGGGCCATTATATATATCTTTGAGTAGGGGGTTTGTTCTCATCCCAGATTCCTTTGGAAATTGGATAGATGTGTGATGATTCTCATAGGGTTTGTAATGTATATAGATGTAGACATATATAGAACTATAACATAGGATGGAAGGAGAGGGATATGAACCAAAATGTTTTAAGATTTCTGTATTTTACCTGATTAGGTGCAGTAATAATTAGACTGTAAAAAGGTGAAGATCTATTTTTTAAAATTGTTTGAATGTTTACTTTTGGGAGAAAGAGAGCGTGAGCAGGGGCGAGGCAGAGAGAGAAGGAGATGAAGAATTTGAAGCAGGCTCCAGGCTCTGAGCTGTCAGCACAGAGCCCAGTGCAGGGCTCAAACCAATAAACTGTGAGATCATGACCTGAGCTGAAGTCAGATGCTTGACTGACTGAGCCACCTAGGTGCCCCATAAAGATCTATGTTTTATGGGCACCTAGGTGAATCAGTCAGTTAAGCATCCAACTTAGATCATGATCTCACGATTCATAAGTATGAACCGTACGTACATTGGGCTCTGTGCTGACAGCCCAGGACCTGCTTGAGATTCTCCCTCTCTCTCTGCCCCTCCCCTGCTTGCACTCTTGTCTCTCTCAAAAATAAATAAATACACTTAAAAATCTATATTTTAATCATTAGGACAACTACTCAAAAAGAATGCTAAGAAATACAGCTAAAAAGCAAATGGGAAAATTTAAATATAATTCTAAAAAGTATTCAAATTACCGCCCCCCCCCCAAAAGCAGGAAAGCAGGAACAAAGAAAACAAAATAAATGGGAAAAGTAGAAATCAAATAATAAAATGGTAAGTCAAAACGAAGACATATCAATACATTTTATGGACTAAACATTTCATTAGAAGATAGCGATTGTCACCATGGATTTCTAAAAAAGAAAAAACAGGGGCTCCTGGGTGGTTCAGTTGGTTAAGCATCTGACTGTTGACCTCTGCTCAGGTCTTCACCTCAGGGTCATGAGTTCAAGCCCCGCGTTGGGCTCCATGCCAAAAGAAAAAAAAGTAAAACAAGTCTATGCAAGCCACAGGTAAGACCTAACTATGTAGACTAAAAGTAAATATATTGTAAAAAAAAAAAAAAAATCCATGTAAACAGTATACACAAGAGGATTGGAACGACTCTATCAATATAGGAGAAAACAAGTTTCAAGAAAAAATATATTATGAGAGATAAAGAGATATTTTATAACAATAAAAGTTAAACTCATCAGGAAGACATAACAATCAAAAATGTTTATGTGTCTACCAAAATATGTGATAAAAACTTGTCAGAATTAAAGACAGAAGCAAACAATTTCAGAATTTAGTTGCAGGTTTTAATTCCCCTTTCAGAGCATTTTCTAGAAGAGCTAGACACAGGTCAGCAAAGGCAGTTAAGATCTGTGCAACCATCCACTTTGACTTAATTGATGTTTCTAGAATACTGTACCCCAAAATGATAGACAACAAACTCTTTTGGACATGGTTAGCATTGAATGGAGGTGTATTAATGGTTCCTGGGGCTGGCAAAACAAACTGCCACAAACTGAGGGGCTTAGAGCAACAGAGGTTTATTGTCTCACAGCTTTAGAGGGCAGAGGTCCCCAATCCAAGTGCTGTTGGCAGTGCTGTGCTCCCTGTGAGGCTCCAGGGAATTCTCCCATAATTCTCTCCTAGTTCCTCTCTTCCCCTTCTCCTCTCCTTCCTGGATGCCATATATTCATCTGTTGAATTGTTTGATACAATCACTGAGGTTTTGTTCATTAAAAAAATTTTTTTCTTGTGTGCTTCCAGTGGCGGGCTACAGATCTCTGTGCCAGGTAGTTGGTTTCCTGTTCTCGGAGTGGGTTTCAGGCTTCCAGTCGGGTCGCCAGTCACCTCCACTCCGGTTCTCCCCAACCCTCTGTTGTGGTACCTTTGCCAGAGTCTGAGATATCCCTTTCCAGAGTCCCAGAAAGGAGACTGAAGGGTACCTAGAGACTCAAAGAAATCAGTCTAGAATGATAAAATAAAGACACCGTCAAAAGAGATGATGACTGAGGAGCAGAAACTGTCCTAATATCAACTCCCCAGGTCTAAGTTCAACCAGAGAGCCTCTGTGAAGACTCTGTCGAAGACCATGAGACCGTGCCCCAAAGGAATCCTCCCAACGCTGCAGCGTCTAGGCAGACATTCAGGAAATTCCACCATGAGGATGCAGCTGGGCCCAGGGATGTCTTTCAACATCTCCAGGAGCTTGCTAGACAGTGGCTGAGACCCAGTATGCACCAAAGGAGCAAATTGTGGAGATGCTAGTACAGGAGCAGTTCCAGGCTGTCCTGCTCAAGGAGCTCAGAGCTCAGGCCCAGAGATGTCAGCCTAGGGTCAGAATCACTGACTAAGTCCTGTCAGTGAGTTCTTGCTCAGCTTACATGTGAGAAATAACCAGAGGTTCTCTTTGTTGTTTCAAGAGCCAACTACAGTGATGAGGAAAAGTAAACCTCAGTTTTTTTGAGCTTGCCTTTGACTAATTGTAATAAGAGTCCATCAGAACTCATGTTTGGACATCTCTCTGCCTAAGACAGCTCTAATTCCTGGGACTGAGCTCCAGAATGAGTTTCTCTACCTTTCTGTTAGGACAATCAACCTGTTGCTTGTTTTTGCTCTGCTGAATGCCTCCTTTTTTGCACTTTCTGACATGCTTTAATTGTTATGTATCTAAAGAAGTAATTGTTTCAACTTTCAGAATTCTTGATTCTTGCTGTGGTAGCATGAATGGGAGCTATTGTACCCTCATCTAGTAAACTCATTTGAGATGTCCTTGAAATACTAAAGTTTGGTCCTGAACTTTTTTTTCCTTTTCTTTACATTGTATAATTTCTTTTTAAAACTTTTTTTAATGTTTATATTTTGAGAGAGAGAGAGAGAGAGATGGTGTGAGCAGGGAAAGGGCAGAGAGTGAGGGAAACACAGAATCTGAAGCTGGCTCGTGTCAGCACAGAGCCCAACACGGGGCTCAAACCCACGATCCATGATATCATGACCTGGGCCAAAGTTGGATGTTTAGCTGACTGAGCCACCCAGGTGCCCGATTTTTTTTTAATATTTATTTATTTTTGGGAGAGTGCAAGCAGAGGAGGGGCAGAGAGAGGGCAACAGAGGATCCAAAGCAGGCTCTGTGCTGACAACTGACAGCAGAGAGCCCAATGTGGGGCTCAAATTCACAAACCATGAGATCATGACCTGAGCTGAAGTCGGACACTTCACAGACTAAGCCACTCAGATGCCCCTATAATTTCTTTCCCTAAAAATACTTATTTTATTTATTTCTGGGAGAGAGAGAGAGAGCAAGCAAGAGAGAGGCAGAGAGAGAAAGGGAGAGAGAGAGTCTCAAACAGCCTCTACATGTAGCATGGAGCCCAACATGGGTCTCAGACTCATGAACTGTGAGATCATGACCTGAGCCAAAATCAAAGAGTTGGACACCGAACTGACTGAACCACCCAGGTGCCCCTACACTGCATAATTCCTACTGATCTGTCTTTAGGTTCACTTACT